GCACTGCGTTGCTAGATAGTCCACTCTCTTCACACGTTCTTTACAATGTGGGCACATACTTTTCTCTACTCCAAACAAATTTCAATCTCGGAGGTGACAGTATCGCGCTTCATCTGGTGAGGTATTATTTCCAAATTGTAATCACACTAATAAATCCGCCTGTGAGGCTGGCTCATTATTACGCATCTTGCATAGTTGCATGGCAAATTTTCTTTCCTATCTCACTATACGGAAGCGCTTTCTGGGCTGCTAATACGCTTTCGACGGTTGCATTTTCTACGAAGTGCTATTTAATCTGAAGGTAGGGCACAATAACTGCTAAGTACGTGTTGTGAATCTTTTCCTACTTCAAAATTGCCATCCTCCCGGTAGATATGGGCGCACTTTCTACAAGTAGTTTATAAAGTTGCAGAAGCATTAACTCACTTCTCTGTTCAACACAGTGAAGCCCACGATCTAGCTCGTTCCTTGGTAGGCACAGTCTCTCCAAACATGCAGGTTAGATGTGAATTCCGTGCTTAATTAGTAACTGTCTGGTATGATGATGGTCAATTGCTGAAGTCCTCTGGTTCCAGTTTGAGCACTCCAGTTTAATAGTATATTAAACCCATGGCGTACTCATTTACTGCCTTGATAAAGTTTTTGCCGTTCAGAGCATCTTGGCTAGTCTCTCTCTTTCCCTTTTCCACTAGCATGCTATGCTATTAACAATTTTTACTAATTCCGATGTGCTTTCATCCCCTCAAAACTTTTCATCCTCACTGTAACGTAAACTTGAAAAGCTTTTCTAAAAGAGACTGAAAATTAAAGCCAGAAGATGGAATGGATTGAGGTTTTCATTCTGACCCTTGCTTATAGAAGTTGAAAGCACGCTTCGTCAGTGCGCTGGCAGTGACTTTTTGTGGAGTGGTCAACTCTTCTTCAGTTAGTACAGTGTTTATTTGAATTCTATATAATTTACTGTTGTTGCTAATTAACTTAATTTTCCGTAAATATTCCATTGTTTTTCGGAATGACATATTAGTTAATGAAATCGGAAATTATTCTGGTTGTTGGAATAGTCGGGGACTATGTCAGATAACGAGAAAACCATATGGTCAAAGTTTATTTCGGTTCTACGGGGTTTCTCATTTTCACAAGAACTAGGTTAGTTTCTTGAAAATTGACAAAACTTTCGGTAGAATTTTTTAAACGATTTTCAGCATAAATCACATCGTTGAATGCATATCATGTTTCGTAAATTTACCAGATGATTTATGAGAAACTTAATTTAAATTCAGTTTCATTTTATTTTGAAAAAGAATCTGATTTATTAGGTCTAAAATTTTGCATGATATACTATAAATAAAGTAATGGTGATTTTCCAAATCTGTCGCTAATTAAATTGACGTGAAATCTTCAGGTATTGAGAAGAAAGATAAAGTTGGAAACGAAAAAATTGTAGATCGATTTACTCCAAACTGTGGCTGGCGACGACTGAAAGGAATATACACTGATGGAGGTTATGTTAAAAGTATTTCTCAAACTTCTAGGAGTTTTATACTTAAGACATTTTAGGTGTGCATTTTGAAACGGGTATCTTGCTACCATGTATGGAATGGTCATTCATAAGTGCAGTACTAATTACCGCTCCCAGAGGATGGCAAGAAGCTGCTGAACGCTATAATCGGTATTCAAAGGGACGAATATTTCTAAATTCTCATGATGCACTAGTGAGTAACTTTGTAAAAGTATATCATGAAAATTGAATAATATCGTTTTGTCCATGGTTTTTGATGACTTGTTGCTAACTTTTTTCCAATTAGCTTACTCACTTTGAAAGGTAATAGCAAGGAAGTAGGTTTTTTTACGAAAAACATTTTTAGAGACGTAAATGGGATTATGCATTTGTATCTTTTCTACGCAGAGGTGGAATATTCGGGAGTTTAGCAGCATTATATGTAGGGTGTATAGTGTAAGTCAGTCATTTTTTTATTTCTTTGATTCTTTTAGTAACATTTCTTGCTTTTGTTCATACCTAAACTGCATTAAAGCAATTGCAGAAGTTACATTTATAACCATAATTTTTTTTAACAAGGCAAAAATTGTTTTATTTTACTCAATCTTCATTACATTGAGACCAAAGCTTTTTATATTTCTATGTCATATTTTCTTTTTAGTGGAAGCATCACGCATGTAACGGCTTGGCGTGACCATTTTTCACTTTGGACTGTTCCTATCATAACAAGTAAATTTTCATATCTTGTTCATTGCTGTCTTATTAATGAATATCAGAAAATCAAAAGAACAAAATTCCATTTTGTCTAATCTCAATGTAATAACAAAAATAACAGAAAATGCAGGTGGTAAAAACTGGTAAATTAAAAAAATTAAGTATTCTTATTAAAATCATGTTCATTTCAGCATCATTACCCTGTGTATTTGCATATCCATTTGGTTTGTCAAAAATGTTGCAAACAGGTACTCTTGGATTAACTTGTGGGTATGTTTTTTATCGTCTCTTTTTTGACAAAAGTATCAAAATTAAAATGGCTTTTACGAATATGATGATAAAAAAAGATGTAAAACAACCATTTGTGTTTTACCAGGTAAAATTAAATTTAAACTCGACCGAAAACGCCTTTCTTATTTTTTTAGCTTACGAATTATTTGCACAACAGTTTAGGTTGACAGTGTCCTTAATTGTGTACTGTGCATCACATTTTTGTAATCAAACGGTGAATGATACATACCAGAAGTTCAAAAATGACTATGAGGTAATGTTAATGAATAAACGCGATGAAGACAAAAATATTTCTATTTATCAAAAGGAACACAAAATTTGGTTCAGAAATTTGGCAAGGTTTCAAATAGAGCGGGAAAAGCATCTTAAAAAAGACGAAATATCCGCAAAGTCTTCTGAGTAAGTGATCAGATAATATTAGTTGTTGTTACTAATGTATATACTTCATCCAGCCATTTTTGCTTACTATCACTTGCTTTTGTTGATATTCATATCTCTATTAGTATTTGTGTATTAACTGTATTAATTTTAGTTAAGCTCTAGTTAATTAGAAAGAATATGGTTGGGAAACAATTATGTTTCCATTGAGCATAAAATATTTGAAATAATGAATATTCTGCAGTATTCTGTACAGTAATATTTTCACTTTTACAGAATATCACTATTACTAGTTTATTTTAATTAATAGCTAAACTCAAGACAGTTAAGTTTTTCTTTTTACTTTACATATGCATTTTATTTTGTAGACAATGAACTTTGTGGATAAAGTGAAATGAAAAATTATGAAGGGAAAGGTTTCTCTTTATTGTCTGCAAACTTTCTTAGTACTGCTACAGAGAAGTTTCTGTTATGGGTGCAGTGTATATTTACTACCTAAAAATTGCAGATTTTAATATCATGCAGTTGCTCCAAAACTATATTTACCTACTTTTTATCTGTAAATGATTCTTAGCGTAATCAACTTATAAATTGTATCGATGATTTTAGTTTTTTCTCGATGTACCAATAGTGGTGCCAGAGGATGAATGTAAAAAGCCAGTTATACATGAATCCTATAATATAAATGATGAATGCAGTGCCAAATGCTGCATCCACCTTTCCACCTAGGGCGTCGAGCATCTTAGGCGCTGTTGCCATCGTAAGCACTGCTAATCCAAGAGTATATGAAGATTGCATCAGAAGAGCTTAAATAACATCTTGATTAGAGAAAAAATTTGAAGTAATGAGTATTGCTATGAAACTTTATCAAGAATAATATCTCTCAGATGTTAGAGTGGTTTCATTTGATAATATTGATATATTAAAGAGCCTACCTGGCCATAGCAACCAAATTCGTCTGTTAAAGAATGATGAAATGAACAATAAGCATAATGAATTGGCGTATGATAAGCACCAGAGAGATCGCATAAAGCCACCATCTAAATAGTTGGCAACACATTCAGTGGTACCCAACACGCGATGCATTAAACCATAGTCGAAAATGATTATGTCGTAAGCAAGGAACTGGAATAAAAAACTTTCACTAATTCTGTCGTGTATACGCTGCTTTTAGTACTGATTAATGTGACTACATTGAAGGCGTTTCCCTACTTTTTGCAGCAGGTAAAAACAAGCTACGGTTCATGAATGGTTTACTGTTGAGTTCGTGGCAATTTATTTTTAACTAGAGCCAGAGAATTGCAGTTGTACCTTGTCTAGTTTCGCTTGCAAAGTGGTAATATGTCTTTGAATCTTGAACGAGTTAGGAGGTCTCCTTGAAGGTGCTGATAGTTTTATGAAAGCAAATTAGTTTTTTAGTCTTCTTATTTTATAAATTAGCCAATTTTGAAGGGAAAAGAGGAAATTTACTTTCTCATCAATTGTTGAGTTTACGGTGATATTTGATCGGCAGGCGAAAATTGCGCGGTGCTTTCGTATTGAGTATATATGCTGAATTGTTCACTTTTTTTTCATTTTGAAGTTGCAGTACAGTTAAGAAAAACGATTGCGCTAAATTCATTACTAAAACTTTAACTGTGTTGTTTCTTCAGTAATAGGACTTACGAACGAGCGCGTTTCTAACCAATTTTTTTCAAAATGTGCTCACTTTTTTTCAAACTTTTTTTGTTGGTTCAATTAAGTAAAGTGAACGTTATTCTCTCATTCAGAGTTGCAAGAAATAATGATAAGTTTGAAAAATGTTTTCAGTTGCTATGAAATAAATTTTAAAAAAATTTTCAGTAATTATTTGGTAATTATTATTTTATAGTTAGTTTAAAAGGTTTTCTTCTTGCACACAGCACTGTAAATATTGAAACTTAAAGTTAAGATGAATGCTTTTTAATTTTTTAGATATTATAATAGAAAAAGCATGCATACATTATGGTGCTTACCTGTAGAAGTGAGACGAAAGCAACGAGAAATTGTAATACAGTCAAAATGGCACAAAGACGAGAATTTCTTGCCGATTGTCCGCAAATACTTGTGTCTTTTTCACGTATTACTATGCAGAAGCAAAGCTTCATTTCAGCACTGCAATAAATCGCAAACAACTACTAAATGCATGAATTTATTAGCAGCAATTTCTTCTTTTTTACTCTCCTTTTATTACTTAATTGTTTGACACTTTGCATTAATTAACACTAATTCACTACACGTCTACTCTAATAACATTTTTATACATCTTTTTTTTTTCTAATTTTTAAATCATCCACACTCATTCATCTTGCAAGCACGACCAAATGCTGTACGTACTCGCAGTTAAAAGAAATTTATACTTCATCACAAAGATATTTGTTTGCTAGCACTTTACATTAGTAACATGCATATATGTCTGCTTAGCACATTATTGCTTCCTTATTCATTATAATTGCTATTGTACTCTATTTCGTTTATATTTTAAATATATAATATAGCTTTGCATATACTTCCGTTGATTAATTGTAAACATCTACTGCCCTTAAATTTATACATGTCACTGCTCAATCCTTTTTTTGAGTACATTAATGTATCAGATCGACACACATGATATTGATATTGTAAAATTTTTGAATTTGGTGTTGGTCAAAGTAGTGCTTTCGAAGAAATGATGATATTAGTTGAAAAGGCAAACTTTAACACCATATATTACGCTTCGTGCAACAATCTTGAACAGCTTGATTAATTAATTAATTAATTAATATGTATCACGAAAGAATTATTTCGAGACTAGTCGTTTCATATGAGTTCGTCAAAGTGTTGTAAAAAACTTATCATAGTTATTTATTGAGGTTGTAGCAGATGTCACAGGAAATTACACTGTAAATACTGGAGCTTCGACATGACCGTAGTGTTAATTATTTTTGATTCCAAATTCAGAAGATTATTGTCTTAGTATTGCAGTGTGCTAAGTGCGTACCACTAATATTTTTAGTTAATTTTATGAAAGAGAAATGTACTAATGCATAAATTGCTGTTCAAAACCATCTAATTGATTTGCTCTTTGTAGCCACCTATATTCAAATCTTAAATTTCACGTTTCTGCTGCTCTAGAAAATAATTAAACCTTTACGTTCTTGAATTTAATGCTTTAGTCCAATGAATTTTTTGAATTATTGACGTTTCTGCTCGACATTTTAACTTGCATCTCTTTTGTGCATAAACAGTACATATTTTGTTTTATTCTGCAGCAGCAAAAAGAATGACTACTATATCTCATTTTAGGAAGTTAAAATTGCTAAACAAAATATAATAATCACTTACGTTTCTAGAATTATGAAACCGAAATTCATGCATTTACAATTCATTAAATTCTTAGTTCATTTAACATTTACAATTCATTAAATTCTTAGTTCATTTAATAGCACATCAAATCGAGTGTAGAAGTTCGTAGCAATTTTTTCACTTGGTTTTCAGAAATTTAATGAATTGTGCTTAAGGACTGCGCATTTTTGTCGTTTTTGAATTCGATAATATGAAACTCGTAATCATAATTACGAAAGGCATTATCAATGTTTCTGCGTAAATCGACGAGAGCATAGTACCAATATATTTTTCATTCTTGCAAATAAATATTTTTTGTGTAATGCAGAATACAGTTCAACCTTGATAATTTGTTGTTAGTTTCAGTTTTATTAATTAAATTCATTAAAATTATATCAATATGCGTACCAAACTGAAAAACTAATCAAATTTGTTCCGGAAAAGACGATGAAAACTATGGAGGATAGTGAATTTGAAGTTGGAGTTGCGAAGACAATGTCAAATGAAAAAGAATTGTGTCAAAAGCAAACAGAATCTGGAAAACTCTGGCAAGTGCAGAAGAATTGGCTAGAAGCAAGGAAGAAAATCGCTTCACTGGAGGCACAGATTAATATGGTATAGGATTTACTGCAACTATTGTTACCAAGAATGCTTCTATGTAAAATAGTTTCGCAAACTAGTGAGTAAGTACCTGATGTTGCTATATTTTACGAGCATTTCGTGATGTCAAGCATTCTTTTTTGTCTTAATTCATTAATTTGCTACAATTCTTGCGAAATCAAGCATATATTATTGCAATTTTCGCATCGCTTGCGTGAAGAATCTTTGGTTTGTGAAATGGTTGATTTGCGAAGGAATCAGGAAATAAATCAGGCGAAATTTGATGAAGAACGACGCGAATGGTTGCGTGACATTCGAGAATTTCAACGAAATAAGCTACAGGTGTAGTGATCAAATTATTTGCATTCTATTTCGACGTCAGATTAATTTTTTGTTTTTCTTTTTTGCGGTCAACATTCAAATCTTTTTCAGTTATTTGTGCAGAGTAATTTTTTTTTACATTGGTTTATTCAGAATTCTGATATTGGCAATGTTGAAATTGCTAAACTCAAGGCTGAAATCGCTGAACTGAAATCTTCTTTAGATGATGCTGAACGAACTCGCATGTTTTTGCTTGAAGATAACGGTAAAATAAAACAACAAAAGGCAAAATTGAGGTTTCATTGTTTAAAGTTTAAAAAAATCTTATAGCAGTAGAACCAAATTTTACTTAAGCGATGATTTTTTACTTATTTTCCGGTAGTGGTCTGAATCATAATGGAATTGGATTTTGACGTATGTATTGGAATATTTGGAATTTCCATGTAGTAGATTGCATTCGATAAGAGTTTCATGTCTTCTTATTTCTTAATTAATTTCATTTACTTTTCTTATAAGAAATATTTAGATGTGACTACAACACGCTAAAACGTGAGCATAGTAAACTACTATTGTCTCATCAATCTGGAGCAGCTTCGGTACATTATATTTACTTTTGCTTGTCAAAATTTTGGCATGCTTTCAGCCCTTTTGGTTTGTGAGGGCATTTTTTCAGATGAAAAGAGAAATTCTTTGTGATAGAAATGGAGCAGGAAATTCCATGAGCTACTGCAGTGAAAATAGATCTGAATGTCGGGTCAATTTTGGATCAGCGGTACTTGGTCTTTCTGAAGTAAGCTCTGGTTTTATTTAGTTGTCTTTACCATAATCGTTATATCATTTCATGAATCATTATTTCAGACTTGCAATATATGTATACCCGCAGTCACGTCCACCGAGTTCACTGTTTCTAATAATCAGAATGTAAAGTCTACTTCAGATTGTAACACGAATTCCACTGTTAGATCTTTAGATACGCAGGTATTATTATATTATTATTCTGGGTGTAGCTTATGGCTCTTCTGTGGTATATAAAATTAACGGATAAAAATTATTCTTTTATTTTTAAATTGTCATTCTTTTATGTTTAATTACACTTATTAAATAGTATCGAAAGCTTCAATATCTCATTTATATCTCATTTAGTTTGTATGGAATATTAAAATATTAATTCAATTTGTTTATTTCAATGGAATTTTTTCAAAGGTTAAGGTTCAGGAAATCGCTACACTTTATGAAAGTTTGCCTCAAAACAAATTAGTTGTGGAACTTACTGAAAAATTAAAACGCGCTAGTGAAAGAAACAGTGATTTGCAAAAGGCTTTGCGTATTGTTGATGCACAGTGCGAAAAGCTAGTGGTAAATTGGTTTTCTATTTACTGTTTAAACTTGGAATAAGTAAGTAGCATGAGCAGTAACTAGTTTCTTAAGCCTCACAAAATAGTAATGGAGTTATTATGGATAAATTAACAATGACCATATATGGTGGTCTCATGTTGTCATTCATTTTTATTGAGAATTTTTCATTTTAATTTTTTTCATTAGAATAATTTATTGTTCTAGTTGTGAAATTAAATCATTTTTACTTGCGATTTAGTCATTTAATCTTATCTCTCCTTTTTTTTCGTTAATTGTTAACGTTGCTATTGCAGAGAAGTTTCCAGGAGCTTAAATTGCGATATAAAACGAAAAAATCTGATCGTTTGTTGAAAAGTCGATCGGAGATTAACATAATCCCACCTGCCTGTAGTTCTTCTGAACGGTCAGATACCGATTTGGGACACTCTACTTTGGAAAGAAATTGCATGTTACTGTATCGAAATTTCCAGGTAGAATTTTTTAGTTTTTATATAGCTATTTCTATTGTTTTTCTAGTCATTTTTTGTCTTGGATGAAAAGCTAGTTTGCTTAGATTGTTCTTATTTGTCACGATGATATTTTTTTATATTCTGCTCTTTGTTCGCGAAACCTTATATTTTTTCTGTTGTTTTTAATCATATTTTTGTTTATTCTGAGTAACTCAGTTGATATTGCTTTCTATTATTCATCTTTTTCAGGACAATGGGTCTGATGCGTCTGATGCAGTCAAGCGCAGTTATACACCTTGCCTCTCTACCGTTAGAAAGCGTCCAAGAAATGATCTCTGTTGAGCATAATTTAATTACTGTTTACTTTCCCTATTTTTAGTCATTAGTGTTTGTGTCATTATGAGAATATTCGAATACAATTCCAGACTTTTGCATGCTGCTGCACGAACTTTTTTCTGTTGTTTACAAATGATTTCTAATTTTTTACAGCATTAATCTCCACTTTGTTTCCATCTTATTTCAAATTGTTAATTCAATATTATTTAATCAATTTAATCAAGTTTCCTACAACTGTGCTCTTAATCGTTATCTATCAAGTTCCTCGACATTCTACCTTTTTTATCGATCCACTTTATAATGAATAAATTTCACGATGATGCAAGAGCTGTGTTACTGCCTGTACAATCTCTTATTACCACTGAAACTCATTGTGGATTATTTGTACTTTGTCCTCTGTATGCAAGCTTTTATCTACTATAAAGTCACGAACTGCTTCGATTTGAATACTTGGCATCTTTTTGTGTAGTGTACTCTATACTGAGTTTGTCATATGATCGCTTATTTTGTTCCTATATGTCAAGAATTTTGATGGTCAGGGAGTTGATACAAATAGGTCTCACATCAAAGTTCGAGATTTTATGTAGATATGTGGCCAGTGATCTAATTTGAGATTCTCAACCTTTCCGAGCACTCGTCCCTTCTGATGAATATTCAAACTTCTTACGCACAATCTTTAGTGTATAAATTTTTGATTATTGACAGTTTGGTAGCTATGCTGATTTAGAACCTGGAACATAGTCTTTGTATTCAGTGACAAGCAGCATTTGGTGCTGCATTCTAAAAAAACTTTATTCAAAAGAAGCAGCAGAAGTACAATGACATTACCACACGATAATGAAAGAAGTGCCAATATCTTAATGGTGATGATAATCAAAGGTTTTAAAATGAAAACGGCCTAGTAATATACTTGTAAGGCACAGTCATAATGGCACAGCGGAATATACACTACGGAAAATCATGCCCCCTTTTTGCTTTTTATTATAAAAATATGGAAGACGAAAACAACCCAAGAAGTGAAGAGGGACAAAAGACAATTTTGTGAAATTACGCGATGGTAAACGGTAGTTTGTAAAGAAGTGGTGAAATGAAAGGCCCGATGTTGCAGTACTTATTCACTATTGCTACTTTCTGATTGTTCATCGTTTTCGCTATCTGAGCTTTCCTCATCAGAATGGTCAGAGGAGTCGTCCGAAAGCGGATCAAATTCTGAGCTTCCTGGATGTATCATTCTTCTTCCAATGGTGTCGCCACTACCTCCTTCATTCAAAGCAGTTCCCCCAAAACGGCTGAATAAGCTCTTTGGACGGTTCAATTTCAGAGTACACGGTGACAACAGATTATCGCTCGGTGAATAAATCTAAAATATTAGAACCTTTATAAATAGAATTCGAATAGAAACTGTTAACTGAATGACTACAAGGAACCGTGTGGGCGTTTTAAACTGTATGTGCTGTTCATGAACAAATTTAAAAAACTGAAAAATTTGAATTATTCAAGTGTTTGCAGTTTAAAATTCTAGTCGAAAAAAATGAAAAAAGATCCTATGCGAATCAAAAGCAATCAATAAATATTACCGCAAGGCGCCTGCGCAGTGCACTGACACGATGTGCATTTGAAGTAACTGGAGTAGTCTGAAAAGCGTAAATATCATAAGTATTAATAAGAAACCATCAAAAAATTGAACTGCCTGCAGTTTCAAATAAAACAATGTAACTAGAATTACTACTTTTAGTTCTTTAAAATAATGAAACATGTTTATTCATACAGTACAAACTTACAGGTTCCACAAATTCATGACGTGACTCGCCAGAATCAACTGAGACAGTACGAGATTGTTCATTAGGACAATCCTGACGTTCAGGGATACGAAGTAGTGTGTCATTATCGTCTGTTGTGCTGCTGACATTACTAAGTTCTCTTAAAACGTCAGTTTCTGTTCCATCGACAGAATCATTCTCATCTTTGCTACACTGGTCACTACTATCCTCATTATCCTCACTTGATTTGTCGGTAGTAACAGTATCAATTTGAATTTCCTCAACTGGTGTCAGGCGACCAGCTTGTGTTAACATAGAATCACTGCTGCCACCATTTGCCTTAAAATCAGTGCTATTTTTATTAGAACTTATATCATGCGCTTAGTCTCCTGATTTCTCTGAAGGTGCATCGCTAACGTTCGGATTATTTGTTACCTCTTCCGAATCAAATTCTTCATCATTAGCCTTTAATATCTTGAGCGGTGGTGGAGATAATTCATACTCATTACCACTGTCATTTCCCACAGTATCACCTTGTTCTGCACCTGATTTAGACATGACTGATTATCACTGAAGTTATGCAACGACGGAAACGTGCGCCCTCTAAAATACAATCAAATACTTGAAATCGAGAATTAATATAAGTTGAAACGAAATCTATGAAATTCTAAAATATTCAAAGATTTTCTATATGTGAGATCAAAAATCGATTTCTGTCTCAGGTTCTAGATTAATTATGAAAACGCGACAAAAACAACCAGCAATTTTTGGGATAGTGGATAGAAATCGTACAATACTTCACAGTACTTGAAAGAAATCTGAAACAATAAGGACATTCGCGATAAGAAAGTTAGTCTCATGTAACAAGAGTGGTCTAGATATCTGTTAAAAAATGCATGCAACACAGCCTTCCACTACATTTACAAAATCAATAATTATTAAACTGATCTTATACACAAAAAATATTCTATAAGTCAGAAATATGCTAAAGGTTATCTGCAGTTGCTGCACATTTTAAGATAGTATCCAGTGTAAAGGATTGACAAATTCATGGTCAAGGATGAATTATATAAACAGGATCATCCCGGGGTTCCAGTACGGTTCAGACTTTTACTCGCCTAACGAGTCTTATTGTATCACAGCATGAGAAATTAAGTTCTGTATGTTTGTAAAATTTTTTAGCTTTATATCATTCTACAGTAGTGTCTTTTTAAATAGACTTGTTCACTAGTCTATTTAACAAAGATTAATTCGGTACAGACAATATTTCAAACGCGAAGTAACTAATGCTTCCTTCTGCCTCCCAAAAACAACCGTTAAATCACCAGCACTTTATCCTTAAGATCATCTTCCCAGCTTCAGAAAACTGTATATCATAACACAACTAATCTTTCATTGATACGTTCATGATTAATTCACAAATCACGAGAAACACTCAAAAATTAAGCAAAAAGCTAATAAATAGTCCACTCTGTAAGAGAGTATTACAGTAGCACATTCATTACAACTAGAACAATGACCGTATTCAGACGACCCACCACTCAACCGACCGCTACGAATGAAGTTAATATCTTTGAATTCGAATAAATTACGTCAAAAAATATAAAACTTAACAGCACTATATGAAAATTTACTGCATGTTTAAATATGACACAGGGTATTGAAGCCCTAATATGAAATTGTGACATCTCAGCCTAGGAGTAGTGCTGTAATATGCACTTGAGACTACCATATAAACAGCGCTTGTAGTTTTGGTACTTCGTAGAGTTTAATTGCACAACCAAATACAAACGTAATGAAACAACACTGTTCATTTAGTCAACAGTAACTTCTTCGTTCTTATTTCTGAGTGAACGAATATCCTACATCTACACTTCGAGTTTCTTCAATAAAGTCGGTGAAGGGCCAAGCACTGGTTACGGGAATGTTTATGGTCATATATTCATGTGAACAAACAGGGCAATATTTCCATATAGTATTCCAACGCAAGCAAGTAGAATCGTGCAACATAACACTAACAAAACTCTGAGAACGGAGCTTTGCAAAATACTACATTCAATTTCATTTGTTAGATTCATACACAAAATGCACGTATCAAATAAAAGCAGAGGTAACATTACTAAAATGAGAATAACCCGATTTCTGTTATCTTGTCTTTCACAGATCTAGAACTATACCAGTCTGAGTACCAAAATACATATTCTTTTTACAGAATACTCGAAAATATACGCATACAAATGGAATCAATATTTGTTACCAATTTCGAGTGATCGGGCTCTCAATACAATAACCATCAGCATCCAAAACAGACTGCCCAATTTTACAGTGTAGGGCGTTTAATCGTTCAAATCGGAAATCTGTAATACTTGCAAATGGTGAAACATTAATGAAAGTATTTTTTATCCCTGGTCTTGCGAACAACCTACACTGCACATTCATTTACTTTCCAGAATTAATTTTCTTTTTTACTGGTGTTTTGGAATTATTGAAGTAAGCGTAATTGTCTATTAAGTTATTAAAGCACACAGTCTTAACTGGAAAGCGGTATTATAGTGTCTCAAAATTTATTAATGGCATCGAATGTTACTCGAGGACACATGAAAAAGATACAACAGCGCCAAACCATCTTTTTTCATGGGATAGATAAAACAATCTTTCGGAAAATTTTTAGGAACATTCAATGGTGTCACAAACTGATATTCGGATAAAAATAACTTACAATAATAAAGCTTCCTAAGGTCGGCCATTGATGCATTGGCAGCTTCAGAACAATATAAATGTGTCCATGATACCTGAAAATGTCTTTGTTTCGAAAGCAGAAAACATAGCACAAAAATTATGATCACACAAATAACGGAATAAAGATCATCGCAAATAAAATCGGAAGTAAGATCAAATATACCTCGAGGTCACCATTTTTCAGACCAATTGAATAAGATCTACTTGATCTAGCTATAGTAGCAACCATTCCCAAATTACATTCCAAAACATTTGAAATAGCTTTATGTACACTACAATCAAATATGATGCTTTTTCCATGTTTTGATAAAAGTAAATCGAGTAATGAATCTAGTCTACACATGGTATGTTCCAAATTAATGCATGCTTCCTGCAAATCAGTGCAAAAATAAAATATTCTATCAGTGACTTTGGAGCAGAAATAAAGATCTTTTCTCAACTTTTTCAACTGAGCTATCGTACATTCCTCTTGAAAGCATTCTTGCTGCTAATGAAAAGTGATACGAAAAATACTTTTAATGAGGGATGGACATGCTCGGCAACAAAGTGGCGTGGGTTTGGATCGCAAAAAGAAACAGCTTTTTCAACTTGGCCAAAAATCCGATCATAAAATCGCTTATTGAGGGAACGCCACTGTCTGAAACTCCCTTCGTGAACACAAAAACTAAAGTCAAAAATGCATGAATAGAAAAAACATACAAACTCAGTTCATTACAAGACAATGGCACAAGATTTTCAATAAATGATAAAAATCGCTAACTCAATGTGCACAGCTTTAGTGTTTGCATATGATGTGATAACTTTAGATGCCGCAAAATTCTCAAGATCAACTTCTGTGCTGCTAAGCAAAAGAGCCGCCATCATATTGCTTAACAGTCTATCAAATTTTAAATCACATTTAATAGTACTGATACCCAAAACATTGACCGTCAACGTTATAGCTTCTGAGAGCACACGTCGAGCATACCTCTAAACAAGATGATCAAAAGTTTCGATAGGTAGAAAACGAAAACATTTAATACAAATTGATGCGAAATAGTGGATTTCACAAGTAGGATACTGATTAAAAATAATAAATGAAGCTAATGAAATAATCTGATCATTACATTTTTTAAAGTTGATGTCAAATGTCATACAGAAACGAATTTTAAGGATCATTATACTCAACAACTTTACATGGATTATGGCTTCCTCAACATCGAGTAGCACTATAAGTTCCTCATCATAAAATCCGGCAACGTAATAGCACATTGATTCCAGCACATACGTGTTTAAAGCAAGTTTGGTCATTGAAGCCTAAAAGCGCCTAAATCATTTAAAAAAAAGATTATTGTGAACTCTCTGGAAAATTAAAGGCTTTAATAGAAAAAATTAAAAAAAAAAGAAATAATATTTTAATCTTCAAAACGAGCATAAAAATTTATTTACCTTAACGGCATCTTTTTCCGCCAATCGCGTATTTTCAGTTAACACTGCATTGCAGTAATTCGACAAGTTATCTAAAGGCTGTGAATTGCAATTTAAGCGCAATAAATTTAATGTAAATTAGAAACATGAAGTACTGTTTAGAATCAAATAATGAGGAACAAGATTGGACAAATCAAGAATAAATAATTTCCGCATTAATGCAATAAATTCAGAACCTACTTATCAAAGTCTTCATAAAGCCTACAACGGCAGCACCAAAAATAATTTTTTTCATTGATGCTTCTAGCGCAATTCTTTTTCCATCTTCGGGTCTTCCCAAAATTATATTTGAGTTCATAAGAGTATGATTTAAATCTAGCCAGTTCACTGCAAAAATTTATCCTAAAGTAGCTTAAACAGTTGCATTTATGAGAATCATTGAAACAGAAAAAAGTACTGAATAAACTGAACCTCTTATATCACATTTATCAAAAATGCGAATTTCCGCATTTTCTTTGGTGAGTTGCTCGCTTTGAGGAACAAGATAGCAAGTAATATCTTCATCAATCTGAAAATATAATAAATTTCAGAAAAAAAAATCAAAACTTCAATCCCAAGAAAAGAAAATATAACAGTTAAATTAAACTGCTTGGATATCTAAATTGATGGAAAGGAAAACAAGTACTGAAAAATCACTAATAAAGAAGAACGGCACATTTATCAATGTAAGTCGAGTCACAGTTTAAAATCATGCAACTGAATACTTCGCAAATGAAAAAAGTTACTTTACATTTTGAAAAAGATCAATGTATACTGCATATAAATTATTCAGACCTGAGGGAAAACCAGAAAGAAATTAGGGTTTGATCCATTTACAAGATATGATGCAGACAATTTTGTCTTATTGTCAATGTTTTCACTAGTATATCCCGTAGGTTGAAAGTTCGAATATCTGTAATCAATTTCTTTATACCAAAATGAAATAAGCAATGAACGAGATATAAGAGGTATCAAATTAAACGAAAGCTTTGATTTAAAAGCTTTAAAAGAGTACAACCAACATAACCTGATTTAAAACATACGTTTGAAACATGGGAAAGCAAACTGCCGGTTGAATGGCACCAGAAGCAATACGTGTAAGATAATACAATTTTTGCTTTTCGCTACCATATTTTAAGATAAGAGATGATGCTAAATAAGTTTGTTCAAAACGAGTGTACAAGGCCAAAGAGGATCCTAGTCCTTCACAAATAGTCAGCAGGTCTTTATAACATGCATCGATACCTCCTAAATATGATCAAATATACATATTTGAAGGATTATTCGACAACGAGGAAAAACTGCAGGAAACTTTTTTTGCATATTTCTGACCTACATAACCAGAAAAAGTGAAAGATGATATTGAGCAATTTTATGGTCTGATTCAATGATAGCAATTAAAAAACTGCGATTAGTTAAAGTTAAACAGCAGTAACGAACCATATTTCTTCGGCACTGTGTAAGAAAAAAGTTTGTATTCATCCCAGAGAGCCTCGACAAACTTTCCTTGAGCTTCTGAAAAAAGTAATATAATACATTTTTGTACAACTTAATATAATACTAATACTTTTAAAACTTGATGACTTTTATAAAATCTTACGTATATTACCCATTTTTTCGATGTCTTTCTTTAAAGAAGCTGTTAGCTGTAGTAAACTTCTGACTGTTTCTGTATCACTGTATTCCGGGTAGATGAAGAAGTCCTTAACGATGATAGCAGTCAAAAATTTATTACTAATACAAATACTTTTCTCAACTGATAATTTATGACAAATACTTTTCTCAACTAATAATTTATGCTCTTGGAAAGATCTACAAGTGAAATAGATTACAGATAGATACAGTTTATTTCAACAGCTATGTGAACGATATGGACACAAATGATGTGAATTGAAATAAACATGGGTTGCGCATATAAAAACGAACAGTTCTGATTGAAAACGAACAGTTCTGGATTGAACTACCTCAAAATTAAAATTCAATATAACTAAAAGTGACGGAAATAACCTTTTCAAAACGATTCAACGCTAGCCCGCGACTTAATGATACTCTTTGTATCGGAACATCATACTCCTTCACAATTTCATAAGCCGATAGTTCATTCATTTTATCGACAGTAATTGATTTGCTGTTCTTTGCAGTTACCGACTGACAACACCGTAATGATACTATTCTTGTTTTATTTTTGAAACATGATAGCAGAAATACTGATTTCAGAGCACAACGCATCTATAGAGCTAAAAATTACCCGAAATCAAATTCACAACAAGAGCACCAAATTAGAGATAAAAAACAAATATTCATATCTGAAAATAAAATCTAATATGACTGAAATTAAAAAATTTTGAAAACTTCATTTCTCGCATCTTTTAAATACACACAACAACAGTGATAGTAACCTTCAAAAAACGATTTTTTGTGGATCAAAATAAGAAGTCAAAATTTTACCAATTTTGATTTTTAAACAACTGAAATTTGAAGAAATGAGACAAGTCAGTCCACCTTAATCTACAGTGAAAGACTTCAAACACAAAAAAAATTGAGCTCACAGCTACATAATGCCATCTGAATACCTGAACTTTTTTCCAGCATGACAATGTTTGGACAAATATTTTCATTAACAAAATATAACAGACCATCATAAACTCATAAAATGCATACACTGTTCCATCACAATAATTATCTAGGTTCTTAAAGCAGGTGTATTTATATTCATGTCGGTACAGGTACAAGTACTTATCATTCATGTTGGTGCAAAAATCCACAGGATGCTTTTTTTTTTTCCACTACCTAGGGCTTTTCAGTGCTCAGTAAGAATATTTAAAGTTGTGCTATGCATTAGTATAGTGCAACTTCAAAAATTTTCCATAGCACAGTTAGTTATTCCTTCATATTTTGTTACTAGTTATCATTATTATAGCGTTCGGTATTCCAAACTTTAATTTTTGTCATTGCTTGTAATTTAGCACTTTTTAGGTCTGCCATGCAGTTATCAGGTTTAGATCTTGCTATTCATGGATTCAGCCAGAATATTCGAAGAATCGAGAAAGCTGGCATTTCTTACGAATTGAACATTATTCGAGACAAATTGATCCTAGGCTTAAACACTGAACCTGTTCTCAAACAGTCATCAAAAGCTGAAAGTTCTTCAGGGGACTGGACAAGCTTGGGTGGTTTAGAAAGTAATGGAGTCGATATAACGGTTACTTCTAAAAAATTTCCAGGGATGTTCCCGATTAAAATGTATGCAATGCAAAAAATCATGAAAAATTCATTGTTTAGGCCGTTGAAGAGTTCATGGATTCGGATGATGAGCAATACTTCATGTATTTGAAGAATTTAAATCCCAATGACTATAAAAATCAGGATCATTACAAAGTTCTTGGATTATCTAAACTACGATGGCAAGCCAACATTTCACAGATTCGCGCTGCTTGTAAGTTATGAAGATATATTGACATTTTATGTATATTTCATTGTGATGGCGTTGATAGCTTTTCAGTTATATATCAGTAAAGAATCTAGTGAATGATAGGTCGGCACTGTTTTTCAATTCGCAGTGCACCTGCTCGTGTAATGTAATTAAAATTGGATATATATCTTAAACACTTAAGTTGAAAAAGTTGGTATTACTGTTGCAGATCGTGCTAAAGTTTTAAAATACCATCCTGATAAATGTAGTAGAAGCGAAGAAAAAATGGATGGTAATGCAGAATATTTTGCTTGTATTACAAAAGCGTATGAGCAGCTTGGATTATCGAAACAGAAAAGAAGAGCATATGATTCTGTAGACCCATTATTTGATGATTTAGTTCCAGACGAGAGAAAGATCAATTCTTCAAATTTTTACGACATTTTATCACCCGTCTTTATTAGGAATGCAAGGTTCTCAAACTAGTATTGATTTATAGTATCGTGATACGCTTGCCTTAGTTCGTGTAGAATCATAAATACATAGAGTGCTCAATTGATTTTCTCTGTATTTTATGAACTGATAACAGCATTGCATTTGTACCATGATTTCTTTGATTCATACTGTTTTTTGTCATCAAATTCTGGAACTGAAAGTTTTTCATAAGATGCAGAGGAAATCACTTAAGCATTCTATGTACTTATTATTTTTCAATACCTGTCTCTCTAATACATTGCTAATAGATAATGAAGCTGAAGAATTGTGAATATAATTTTTAGATGGTCTTGTCGACAGCCTGTTCCATTATTAGGTCATGCAGATAGTTCTCAAGATGAAGTGGACATGTTTTACTCATTTTGGTTTGACTGGGATTCTTGGCGAGAATTCTCTTATTTAGATGAGGAAGATAAAGAAAAGGGAGAAGATCGTTGGGAAAGGCGTGAAATTGACAAAACTAATAAAGTTAGTATTTTTCGAAGTAGGAAAAAAAGATGAACTTCTAGGAACATAAGTTCTTGAAAGTTGTTTTTTGAATATTTTTGCTTCTTCAACTTGAGAATTCGATAATATATCGACTATTATAGACTATTATAAATTGTAGAAAGAGTGGAGTTTTGAAAATAATTCAGGTTGAGCGTGAGAAAAGACGTAGGAATGAAATGAAGCGAATTCGAAATCTTATTGAAATGGCTTATCGGAAAGATCCACGAGTAGCACTTTTCAAGGAACAGGAAAAAATTAGGAAAGCAAAAGAAAGAGAGGAACGCAAAAGGATCTTAGAGGAGCGGAAAGCTGCAAGTGAAAGAAGAAGAATAGTAATAAGCTTGTTGTATTGTTTGTTCATTATATTGACTAGTCGGAGTTCGTGAAGTAATCTGTTGTAAACGTGTACTTCAGGAAATTGAATCAGAAAATAAGAGGTTGGAAAAAAAGCAGTTGGAAGAAGAACAACAGCAGCGAGCGCATGAAAAAAGAATGAAAGAACAGCAGAAAAAGCAGCTAAGTGAAGCTAGAAGAAGGCTCCGGAAAATAGCCGAGGTTTATAGATATTCAGTTTCTGTGTTAGGTTTTATAATAAAAATTCTGTTTTTGTTTTTCTAACTGTTTCTCCTCAGCTCAGTTAAAAGCTAATCCTGAATAATATCAGGATCATAGGTATATTATTTCTCCAATTTTGTAGCATATTGTAAACGTATGGTACGGAATAAGGGCTTACATACGATACCAATCTTTATCTCCTGATGAAAGAATGAGTTTTTAGGGAAAGAATTATTGGGATGCTGATGTTTCATCTAAACTGTCATGTTTGGAAGCAATCGAACATGTATGTTTACGGTTTGATGTAAATCGTTTAAATGAATTCACTGCTAAAATCGAATCAGTTAGCAATATTACAGAAGCGATGGATATGTTAAATATAATGGTAAGACTAACCCATTTAAACAAACAAATTTGAGCAAAGATCAGCTGTAATGTTTTTGTAAAACTGATCTTTACGCTAAACGATCATGTATTTTAATAGATGTGTTTTAATTGCATATTATCGCTTTCTATAAAATAAATATGGACGAGATGTTTTTATTCACATCCTACATAATTAACATTAAATTCCAGATTAATGAAGCAGTTCCAGAGCAGAAAAAAGTCAAGAATGACAGCTTTGAGGATAAGAAGATGAACAGCAGCAGGCCTCACTGGTCTCCGGATGAAATTGCGTTACTAATTAAAGCTACCAATATATATCCATCTGGCGTCATCAGGAGGTTATAATTCTTGTCTGATTAAAGAATTCTCCGGCACTAGTAAAGTTTTTGTTTATTTTTCATGTCAGAGAAAGTAGCGTAAATTATGAATAATTCATTTCCTTCTGCTGTGAGATTACATTACATTCAACAGTTTTTTAGATGGTCGGAAATTACTGATTATATTAATAAACATCGTAAAAATAAAGAAGCTGATAAGAAGACAGAAAAAGACGTCGTAATTCAGGTAATTTGAGCTTGACTCATTAGTATTATGATTTGGTAGTAATATGCGTTTCTCATGTGGAATCACACTATAAATTTCAATGAGGAATGTGATGGTAAATTCATTGCCTTTTATTTAAGATGCTCCAAAATAGATTGAGCCTTTCATGAAATTATGGCCGTCATAAAGCAAGTCAGCTATTTGGACACAAAATGAATAAAACAGCTTATCAGGTCCAATTTGCATGTACTGAGTAGTTTTACCCTCTATTTGCTAGCATATGAACCATTGTGTTCTCGGTTATGAAGTAGTTATCGGTATTTCCAGGTGAGGGCAATTAAGTCTTTGAGTGATCATAGTCCAAAGGAAATCAAAAATATTTTGACCAATGCAGTGAAAGGGGATCAGTGGAGTTCTGAAGAACAGAAGTTACTTGAAAGTGCGCTCAAACAGTATCCTTCATCAGATCCAGAGCGATGGGATAACATTGCAAAATTTGTAGGAAAGTCGAGGAAGGAATGCATAGAAAGGTTAGATATACTTAGTACTATAGCTCCTACTCATGGTCACTATTTAATGAGGTGAAAGGTGCATACGAGAAATGAAAAGTCAAAAGATGTTTTTGAGTAAATTTTGCTCTCTTTGAATCAGATCTTTATTGGTTCTTTCTAGTTTTTTACAGGTCATTTTTTATCACTCCAAATTTTGGTTTTCTCCAAAGCCTTACTACTCTTTAACCGCGGATAAAATTTGCTAGCATTATTCTGGAAGGTCTGTAGGTTACGAACTTTCAGATTCAAGTATCTCGCAGAACTGGTAAGAAGTAAGAGAAAGCAGCTCTAAAAGCTATTCCTTCTACTTCTTAGTGTGCTAACTACGTCACTTCTGTTTCTGAAATTGTCTGTGTCATTTATTTGCAGGTGTTTCTGGTTCTGCTCAATTTCATATTTTAATTATACCATAATTTGTTTGCACCAAGCGACTTCACTTAGTGTTGATATTTACTGTCATATTGTAGATCATCGGAGGTATTTTTCCTTGTTAATGAGCTGACATCAGCACGATTAGAAACTCTTTCTACTAGTGTACAAGGAAGTTGGAACAAATGACTTCCGTAAAGATTGAAACATCGTGAATCGCAGTGTGCTTAAGGACCTATATAACTTATATTGTAACGATAGTTTAGAGATGAGTTGCAGTCATAAATTCAGTAGTTTGCTGTGGTGCTCATCGTTGTTATCCATCGACTATATATAATGAATTATCCAACACCACTCTTAATATGAAGACTGAAATCCAATTATGGGAACCTTCAGTTGCTGTCGGTTAGGATTTGTTCTATTTGCAAACTGTCTGTATTTCAGATAACAACTTATTTTAAGTGTAGCATTGATAGTGTCTTACAAATCACGTGTCCATCGACGGTTCCTATCCAACATTCCATTTCATCTTGCAGCTAGACAAGTGTTTAAATAAGATGAATTGTAACAGGAGATAACAAATTATAGAACACATGATTAATACTGGTTTGTTGCGGATGCTGCAGATTTTAGTACGCAAGAATTTTTATTATGCAGAGGTTTTTAGATGGTAAAATGTGGATTAAAAAAGAAGCTACACGTATATTGAAGAGTGCACAGAAGTAGCAAATTCCTATGGTACAATACAGAAGAGATGACAGGTTTACTCAAACGCGATCCGTATGAAAAGAGAGGCACATTCGTCCATCTTCCGAGGATGACCCGTGTTCAGTCGTACATGTGAATAACCTGTGCAAAATTTTGGTAGTAGTACTAGTATAGAGAAGAACGACGATAATAATTGCCACAACGATGCCACGCTGTGCAAAAATCTTTTTGTAATATCTATTGTGGTAGCCCTTTGTATCTTAATCTATGTTTCTTGTTTATCTGCATATTTCCAACAGTTTTGAGTGAAAAATGTATTGAAATATCTCAAACCTGCACGAACACTTCTTACTGGTATTGTATATTCACCAATAAAATCATTTGCTGAAGTTGAGTCAAAGTCTTTCACACAAATACGAAGCAAAGCGAAATCAGGAAAATGAAGCGGGAATATGAATGTTTCGTTGAATTGTGGATTAAATCTGCAACTATCAGTAGATTAAATAAATCACTAGTGTGTACAAGTGCGCTTTATTTTAGCAATCGCCATGCACTTGCTATGGTATGATAGTTTAGGTCAACGAGGATTTTCGTTAAAGGGAGGCTGACATAAATTAACTTAAGATACCAGAAAGTATGAGTCTATATGGTACAAAAGTAACGTAAAAAACACTAACTAGGCAGCAGTAAGCATTGATATAAGAATTTTCCTGATTTTTAGTACAAGTTGAGCATAATTTATTCGATTGTGCCTAAGAAAGTCACATAAAGGGAAATGAAGTACCCGTTGTTGCGAATCGTTTTTGTCTTAAACTTTCGAGTATCTGCAGGGATTCCATAGATTGCAACAGTGACGTAGGGGTCAATTATATCGTTTATTTGCGATGTTTTTGGCAGATATTGTCCACTAATGACCTGAAAGAAGGGAAGTTACGCTAAAATTAACGAGCACATTCACATACTGCAAATCACATGCTTCTGAATGCATAGAAGTTTCACTGTGTTAAAAAGCAAATGGGTAATGACAATGAATGTTTGATGCACAAAAATGAAAAAAAAAGTAAATTCAATTGATCGCGCCATTCCACAATGCAAAATTAGAAAAGTTGAAAAGAATGTGCGCTGCTGAAATAGAAAAATATACCAATTTAAAAAATATTTACCAAATAAAAAACAAACACCATTAAAAATAAAAAATATGACTTACTCCGACTAATAACTTCATTGTAATTGTAGATGATATTTCAGGCATGCGTGGATCTGAAAAACTAAAAAACTACTAGTTTTAACCACATATCTCAAGTTCTCTTACATTGCTGACAGAATAATCAGACAAGAACTTGCATCTACTGTTTAAATTTTTTAATCTTTTAACTATGCAAGGATCAGTTTAAAAATCTGGAAAAAAATAATGAACTGTATCAAAAAAAGTAAATAATTATTTGCTATAGTAAAAGCGGTGAGAAGAGTAATCTTAAAATCTGTGTTTATATAATCCAAACACAGATTTTAAATTTTACACCTACGTTTCTTTTATTTATAATTTACTACGAAAAGACTAACCAAGTCCCTCAATGAGTGTTTGTGGTTTGAGTACATAACCACAATTACCATTGATCCGAAACAAGCCATTAGCTAAATCAAGATATTCTCCAGTTGTCTGAATATTCATAGCAACTGACTGAACACCACAAATCCACGAAGGGATGGGATCCATATTGCTTGAGTCCTGACGTAAACCTTTGGGAAATGACTTCACAAATCTTTTTGACGTATATGCTGATAACAAATACCCGCTTTCCAAATGACTTACTACTTTTCCTTCTGAAAGAGATGGAGAACCATCCATCGGATCTGAAATCAGTTTAAATATCATTTTATACGAAATATTTCAACTTTATAATGCAATAATAATAACTTTTGGAAGGCAAGTGCGAGTACGCATTTATTAAGTAACGGAATTCGAGATAAAAAACTATTCAATCATAAATCTGTGTGAATTTTCAAGCTTTTTTTCTTAAGTACAAGAATTACTGTTAATAAATCAACACATAATACATACGTTCTTCAATGTCTTGAAATATATTGTGTGACAAATGAACAGATGGCAGTGCTATAAGATACGAAAATTCTGGATCGATCTTGATGATTTCTTTTTTTTCACTTTTGTTTTCAACTAATTCATTATTTTCCACTTTCAACTCTTTATCAAGACTTTGTTTTGCCTTCAATATTTTACCACGCAACAAAAACTTATTCTTCAAATCATTGGGAGAAGGCAAAGGCTGAGATGCTCCATTTTCGGGACGCACATATATTTTATGGCCCAGTATCTGAAATATAAAAGCTAAAATATCAAGGCTTCCAACAGACTATGTGAGTTCACATGCATGCGAACATAAGCTTGTAAATCAGAACACTTATCACTTATCAGTCAATAAAAATAGAAATCTTACCTCTTTAAAAATGCGCGCCATTGCTTTCTGTTGACATAAACTAACATGATTTTCAATGGTCAAAATTACAGGGTAAGGATTTGTTTTGAATGCATACGCATCAATTTCCTTCAAAGTATCTCTTAAAGATATCGTTTTGATAAAAGTACGTTTATGCGTAATACAAGGTTCCCCTTCTTCGCCATCAAAAACATCCACTAAAAAAAACCCTAGTGATCTCCAAAACTATGAGAGGTGTAAAATAAGTTTTGAGATGGAACCTATAGTTCAACTAAGCATACGTAACTATGGTTTAAAAACAAAAAATACACGTACATTCTAAAAGCCGTACACCCTTTTTTAAAGCACCAATATATCCTTCAACGGTTGCTTCACCTTTCATTTGCAATCCAGTGAGATAAGTATTATGACTTGTACAGACATAATAATGACTAAGAGTATGATTCATATCTTGAAAAACTCCTTCATGTCCTGGTTTCATAATGTTACCCCATCTGGAAAGTAGTAATCGACGAAAACCTGGAACGAATTCTAAATTCATGTATTTCATTTCGATACTTATGTTGATAGAAGTAGGATCAAAAAATATAAATGAAGTACAATACATTATTACACAATTACTATTACATAGAGTTCCTAGGATAAGTATTTCTTAACAATATTTATGCCATAAAATAAAATACATCAGAAAAATATAAGACAGAAAAAAACAAGTCATACCAACTGGTCCAAGTAGTTTCGTACTTTGCTTTCCTGTCTCGAATGTTTCGATTATTAATGCAGCCTTCTTTTCATCAACATCTTCAAACTGAAAATACGTTTAATCATCAAAATCAATCCTTTAAAATTCATTCACATTAAAAAGCATTCCTCAACTTCTGTTCTTGAATTCTGGAAAATTTGAATTCTTAAATTCATTCAAAATTTACATCTACATTTATGAAGCTACAAATGAAGAACCTGTTGCTCAGTAGTTAAAAATGTTTTCACGTCATTAGCTGATAAAACCGGTTCATTATTAGAACTGAACATCTTCATTGCATGGTTTAAATCGGGACGTTGCGTTAAATGAGCAAAAAAGTTTAGAAATTCTTCTTGGTCCAACTGGCCATCCTTTTTACCGAAGCTATCTGATTTCTGAAGCAGCCTAGAGAACAATCAAGTGCAAAAAAAAATTTTTTTTAATTTAGAGGTAAAAGTAATTGGTAGATAAATTTTTGAACAAAAAACAAAAAATAGAAGTATGCTAAACAGAGATATGTTTCACACAAAGTTTTAAAAAATTCAAAAAAATTTCAACGGCAGTCAACTAAGCATGAGTTATTAAAAACTTAAAAGGAAAGAAAAATAACCGTGTACACAGCTCGTGCATATTCCTCACTGATTTGTAGATTCATCTTTTTCAGAAGATTCATAATTTCATCAAAATTTAATTTACCTGAAATGACTCACTGAAAGTATTCTTGTAGATGCAAAATGTATTTAAAAAAGTGCACTTCAAGACAGAAGTAACTAATGCTAATACATGATGTCAATTTAAAAAACTGTGATTTGAAAACAAAAATACTTCCTAAACTGAAAATCTAATTTATTTCAATCAGTGCCCACCGAAATATTTCATTATAATTTACTTTGAAGATAGTCCACCGACATTTGTTTTATATGACTGCAATTGCTAGCATATCGTACTTTCTTGCATTTGCTTGGGATTTCCGCAAATAAATCTCAGTCTAGTCTCACTGCTGTGATCATAATTTGCTGATCTTACACAACTTTTTAAATTTGAAAACTTTAACCAATTATTTCCTTACTTTCATGGTATAAAATTGACAAACCAGTTTTATCTACATCAGCTCTCTGGAAATGGTCTAAAAGCCAGCAGTCTTCGTCAAAATGCAAACGCTGCAAATTCTTTTGAGTAACCAAATGCTGTAAACCTTTAGCAAAATCTTCAATTAGTGATGAATTTTCTGCAGCAAAATCAATAGATTTATGGAGCAGATGTCGATGACTTAAAATTACAGACATACACATTTTTGCCTGCAATTCAAATTGATTCAAAAAAGAAGACATCCGTAAAATAAGGAAATGAAACATCTAAATATATATATAAAAAATCTGAGCGTGGGACAAGTGCAGCCAGAGTGCCGGAATGCGATACAGCGAAAACGAAAACTAATAACCTAAATTAAGTTAATAGAAAGACACTACCGTTGTTTTTTCCCTAAATGAACACTTTTTTGCAGCAGATCGAAGGTTATCAGAACTAAACCCTTTACGCACTTCCTGAATATCATCGAGATTGACTGAAAAGTAGTGGAGATATTATAGATATATATAAAAAAGCTACTTCGAAAATCTAGAGTTAGGAGCTTACCATTTTCGACTAATGAAGCTCTAAACAAAGTTCAAAATTGAAAAAAGAGTAATTGCTTTTTTTCGTATACTTTATGTACACACTGGTAGGTGAGAAAAATAAAAATTTCAATATACAACTGATGTTTTACTGATGGTATAGCTCAAATTCTTCTTTTCCCCTGCTATCTGCCACAAAAGTAATGATTTTATTATTGAATGAATTTTGTAAGATGTACAGAATACAAATTGTAAGATGCATAATAAACCTGGAACAAATTTGATCAGCGAAGGAAAAGGTAGTGAAGGAATCGCTCCATTACATTAGTTCTAGATTAACACAAGAAATAAATCACATACCATACTTCAATCGCATCGGTAAAAACTTCCAAAGAGCAGCGCTATGATAACAGAGCCATTTCTTATCTTCTACATACACCTTTCGGGGGCTTGTTAGACGACCTCTTTTGATCCGACACATCTGAACACCTTTTTTACAAAGTTCCACACATTCCTCAAATTTATCGTCTGCATTCTCTTCCATTAAAGAACACTAAAAAATATAGAAATATCTAAGTGAACCATATTTGAAGAAACGATTAGGAATGGATTATTATCCGAATAAAGGTTGAACCAATCAAGAACAAATTACTTTCTTGTGCGCAAGCTAAAATCGATGGTATTAGAACAATCACGCAAAAAAAATGTCCCGATAATTTATTCAAAACAGTTTGGCACCATAATATGACATATGACATTAAGGCTTAAAAAGCAGATCCTATGTCGATGACTCCAGCATACTTCCATTGCTTGGTAGTCAAAATCTCAGCAAACAATGCCAGAATCCAAAAACCACTTTTAATGCTTTTTTTTGAAGGACGAAAATTTACTTTCCTCATTAAAAGATAAATAATAATAGTTATCATGTAGTCAGAAAATGATAAATGAACACCATGAAATAAACACTTCCTAAATATGCGTCGATGTAAGAAGAAAAAAATCATTACATGCTTTCACCGAAGTAGAATGTCTCAGTTCTATTCATTTTTCAGCAGAACTTCTAATACTAAAACATCAAATATTATTGTCTTTGCCTTGCTGTAAAAAAAAAGAGTCTGCTCGAAACAAAGAGAATCAGATGCGTAATTTTCCGTCGGTTGGATACGTGAAAGAGAACGTATGTAAAAATCATGAAAGAGTGCATTTGTTATAGCATTTGGAAAAACTAACTAAAGCACATGAAATGGTCGACAAAGAGATGTAGAATTAGAGTGTTATAATGCATATTTCGTGAGGCGCGGAGTTTGCAGCAGATCTAAATAGAAGGGTTTGTTGAACGAGCAGAGAGTTTGTTGCTCATGTCTGAAACAGAAGTAAAACTGGCCCGCACAAATGCAAATAAGTGCATCTATAACGTATCCATGAAAAAAACAGCTAAAAGGTACTTAAAAGCTTCAAGGAAATGGTTAATTAATTAATTAATTAATTATTAATTAATAATTATTGAAAGGATGAGTGAAGTAATTAATAATTAATTAATTCACTCATCCTTTCATTCATTCATTTACTCAATCACTGATTCATTCAGTCATTCATACATCTTGATCAGAAATCGATGGTTTCTTCAGTAAGAGCACAGCAATTGAATACACAAAATTGAGCATTCATTATTGTTGCAAGACATTTGTGTCTTGCAAACACAACTATGTTAGATTATATGAAGATACTACAACACGACATGTACAGTGTGAAGAGCAAAGAGAATGCAGAAAGTTGAAGGAGCACAATTAGTAGTGGAAATGATTTTGATATGAATGAATTTAGGCAGTAATTTCACTACTTGTGAGAATTGGAATTGAAACGTAAAAACTAAAAATTTGTTAGTCCTACGCAAAAGCCGTGTATAGCTACGTTGTAGTCTGCAGCAACCGAAATAATGCGTATTTCCTTTCGAAGGAAGGCATTAGCAAAACATTCTGTTTGATTTAAATCATTCTGTTCATTATTACTTTCACTACATACTTTCAGATGATATATGCACTCTAAACAGTGTACAATGTGCAGTGCACAATTAATGATTATGCTACACAATGTGCTAGCAAATATTCAAGTAGCTTAAGGTTACCTGATATTTAACCTTTCAAGTCTGCATTCCAATTTCTAAAAATAATAAATTCTGACGGATGGGCTTGTTAATAAAATTTTTTAGAGATAAATAAGTTGCTTCGTCTATATCTAATCGTAATATTTAGAAATTATGCTGGTTTTAAAATCAATTTAGTCTCTTTTTTGCGTGTAATTTCGCCTTCATATATGTATATCACAGTTTTTAACTTTCATTTTTGCCTTATTTCAAGTTGGATAATGTTTTGAGTTCTTAAAAAACTGTTGTAACATCTATGCAGAAATTTTAGCGCAATTCATTTGTATCTGATATGCTAAAACCATCAATAACTTTTCGGCTTAATTTCAGATCATGTTCGTATTATTTTTTACATTTCGCAAAAAGATCTACTAAAAAATGCTACACATTTTTGCACTGTTTACATGGTTGGTGTCATCGTTCTTATCTACATATTTAAGGAATAGATGAAACAATCATGTATAGAAGAAAATTTGAACGAGTTTGAATTTTGAGGTATTGATCGTGTTGAACTTTTACCAGAAACACTTCTTCATTCCATTCGTTCTAGTAATTTAGATTCCAACTTCGATGCATCAAAAATCAAAATTTAATGAAGTAAATCTGTTAAGAGTAACGCCATCGATCTTATTTTACTCCTTCCTAAACTATTTTAAATACCTAGCCATAAAATTTGATATAAAAACTCAGACATTTCAAGCACACGCATCTCCATACTTGATTTTCCATTTAGCTAGCAATTTTATGCGTAAAATACTTTGCGAATTCAATTACCTTTTTTGAAAGTAGAAAAATACTGCAAATTTTGTTGAGATGTGCTACAACTCCAAAGCAGCTATTCTATTATATACTTTCAGTTTTACTCACTGCTAGAGATGTTTTCTGAGAGTAATATTGTTCTTTCTTGCATCATCACCTTGTTAAAAATTATTGTATTTATTTTTGGTAACTTCCTGATTATATCTTAGTTTTAGCAATATTTATACTTCTTACAATAACAGAAATATTCTCCCCTATAAAATTATGTATCCACAATACAACTTATCAATTCATAATGTGTTTCATTTCTTGATTAGCTTTAATAATCAGTCAATTAAGATCATGCATATTACAGGCCAATCATGATTTGAAGTGAATTACTAAGCTAAACTATCTTGTTTTTCAAATTGTTGAAACAGTGAACTTTGTAGTCCACAAGTTTTTTATTACATGGTAGAAATCTTTATTTAGGATCTGTAAATGACAAAGCAAGCAACTTTATGTTACGAATATCAGTGTAGTGTGATAAATTAAACAAGTTTTGACTTTTTTGCGCTTTTACCAATATCCATAATAAGTTCTTTGCAGTTGAAATGTTCGAGGAAAACATTGTTGCAAGTAAGTGTATTTCGATCAAATAAAAGCCGGTGCAGAGACTGTATCATTACAATTAAATGCATTTTGTATACAGAGATTTAAATATGTTTTGAAATGAATGTGAATTACTTGAGAATATGTAAAGAATCTTTTTTGTAATATGTCAAGAATTGATTATAAGTATCTTTTTCCAAATGATGATTATCATGCCGAAAAGTTTAATTTTCGCTGAATGTTTCAGAAATCAATTTGCTGAAGCAATAAATTAATCTAGAATGCTGTAAGCAACCAAGTCTACCTCTGTACTTCTTTTATATTGTTTCCAAGTCATACCAAGTTCATAAAGCTTTTTTGGTTAAAACTTGAAACAACACTTTTCTGCTTCCTCAATTAGAAAATTAAATTTTCGTTTTTAACATTCATTTTAGTCTTTGCGTCTTGAAAAATATTTGGATTCTACAGAAAGTTTCAAAAGTTGCATTATTTTATGGTATAAAGAAGCTATAGAAGACTAGCTGGAGACAGTAGCATTTCTGTCAAGAAAATTTGAAATTTCCCTCAAATTCATCTGTAAAGTCTCGGATGATAATCAGTCTAAATGAGTGTGTATGCGTGGGTATGTATGCATAAAAGCAAAGGAGGAGTCGGTAGGGTGGTGTTAAAAAAGCAGGAAAGAAAGTGTTGCCAGCTGACTGAAAGTGGCTTCTTTAAAGAAGGATCAACTTTTCTATTATTGAGTAGCTGACATCAAGTTGTTGCCTCAAGGAAACAGATTATGGTTGGTGGTGGTTACCGGATAGGTATGCATCTGGTAACTTCTGCCCTAAGACTTTTTGAACCGAGAGTAGATGATGATTTCATTGATCGGCTTCATTATCTGTACACCTCAACAATGCTATTTATTTTCTCCATTATCGTTTCCGCCAAGCATTATGGTAATACCATTCATTCTTGTTCTTTCATTCATAAGTAAACAGTGAGACATGCTAATTTTTTATAACACTAATTACTGGTTTTATGCCATAATAATTAAAAGATATAAGTAGATGTAGGATTAATGTTGTGTTAATTTTAATTCTTTTTTCAAAAATTTTTAGCCACAAATATTATTTCAAAATATTTTTGAATTTAATCATGTATATTTCTGGAACTGCAACATTTCTAATCTGCGTTCAACTCCTAACTTTCTTTTTGATTTTAAATTTGAATGCAACACCTGTTTTTTGAGCAGTTCTACATATCGATAACATCTAACTTGTCCTGTACTATAGAAAAGAAAGAACGAAAGAATAGTCAAAAATATGGCTTTTAACTAAATTATGGCAAGTACTTTGCAATCATCTCATCATATCATTGATTAACAACAACGTGCTGTTCATAAATGATAAAGTACATTGACAGCAGTTGTAACTAACTATTAGCTAGCATTAACTTGCTTGTCTATTATGAATTTCACTAATTTTGATAGATAAAGTCGTTTGAAAAAAAAATTTGCTATATTTTGCACATTTAGCTTCATGGTTTTCACCACGCAAAAATTAGCGGGTACATATGAACAAGTTATCAGTTATTTTCAACTAAAATTATAATATATATAATATTTTCAATTAAAATTATAATATAATTTATATTATATGAAGATGGAATGAAAAATTTAGCAAAATGCTTGCATGAATTTATGATCCTTTCGAATTTGTAGGTCATCCAATAGAGTGTTTTGTGCCAGCGCAATTCACAAAAGCAATGGAACAGTACACGGAGAATTATTGCTGGGTTCAAAACACTTATTGGGTACCATTCCAGGTGGGTAGCGCTTCAGTCTTTTCCATTATCTTCTTATCACATTGTAACTTGCTATTCTGATAACTTTGCTCAACTACTTTGTGAAAGCGAGGTCTTTTTTTCATATGAATAAGTGTATGTAATGAACAAGTGTTGCCTCCTTTACAAAACAACAAAATTCTACTCCATCGTTTTCTGCTCTCTCTTTTGTTAAAAAAATATTGAAGAGACGTGAAAAAAAAGAAACAGTTTTATGAAAAATTTGTATGCTGTGTGAATAGATATGAAGTTGATTTATTACAGTTATAGTGAGGTAAGAGAGCCGAAAAATAGAAGCAACACAGTGGCTCAGAAATTTTTCAAAAAATAAAACATATTTCATTATTTATCACAACTAAATAAAATAAATAACTAACCAACTAACTGTCTATCTATCAATCTATCGCTTAATCCTACTCTCTAAGCACCTGTGCATAGTGGACAAATTTTTGTCATTAATCATTTTTCAAATTGATTCAGTACTTTCGCAAAATAAATATTAAAATCTGATCGGTAGTTTTTTATAGAAAATATTATTTTCTGGTCATAAAAAAAATATATTAATTATTTTCCGAGGAATAAAAACTAACGAAATCAATCACTCACTTTGAACAAAATTTTGCAAATTATATCAAAATGTATGAAATTTTCTGAAATTCACGTATAAGCATTACACTAAACGCAAGAATCAATTACTTAAATGACCAACAATTCCGTTTTCTCTTCAAATACTTCCTTAATCTATTCCTTTCAAATGTAAACTAAGCAGTTAAAGCAATTACCAACAGTATTTAAACATGTAGTATTTGCTACCATCTCGAATCAAGATGTTGGCAGTAATTTTAATAATCGTTATTTCTTATTTCTTTAGTTTCATTCTAGGATTTGATACCTCACCGTTTGGATGATCGAGAACGTCGACAAATCGGTTATTATCAGTGGATTCCATTTGCACTGGCTCTCGCGGCCATCATGTTTCATATGCCTGCGACTATTTGGCGATTGCTTAGCACACAGTCAGGTGATTACTACTGCATAATTTTCGAATTTTTTGACTATTTCTTTCGATTAATCAAGGAAAACTGATTTTTAAAACTGATTTTTTTAATCACTGTTTCATCAATTTCAAAGTGAAATCCATTCTTACTTCAGGCAACCATCATCATTACTAGAGTATTTATTTTCTAGATTTTTTCACTCTCGTTATCATTTGTTGTCTTTTTTTAATAAATATCAATTTTTGAGGAAGTAAAAGTGAATGATTAACACATTTTTACAAAAAAGTTTTAACTATTAAAAGAAATAGTATTTGTAGTTTATTTATAAAAGTAATGAAATTCTCTTGATGGATGAGATAGTATTAAAAGCAAATGCTTGAGTATTGTTTTAGAGAAATAAAACTATTGAAATCGTCAAAAATATTTATAATGGTCTGCAGGATTGGATATGTCTTTGGTAGTACAACTTGCAAGTCAAGACCAAAATGTAGATCCATTAATACGAGATCATTCGGTTGAGGTTCTTACTAGGCACATCGATGATGCGTTAAAATACCAACGTGATTACGGAAGTCGTCATAAAAGTGTAAGTATCAAACCGAAAAGATTCAGTGAAAATTGGATTTTACACATTTTATTTCTGAAAATAATAATTAAGAAAAGTTTGAGAAACGAATAATGCCTTTACTTTGGTAAAGTTTATTAAAAATAATTATCAGATAGCTTGCTACTGAGAGAAAAATAAAGTGCTAAAAGTAGTAAAAGGTAATATAAGTGTACAAATAAAATAGGTGTGTCAATTTTTATATCAAATTTTTTTCTTAGCAACTGCACAAGTTACATTGATTATTCTTAAAAAGTAATCACAGGTTTGTTTTGCAGTTTTGCAGTGTTTTGAAACAATAAAAAGTCTTACATTATTTTTAGTCTCAGATGTTATTTCTAGTCTTAAGGTTATGTAAAGATTTACTATGCAAAAATATTGCAAACATCAGCTAAAGTTAATTAAATTCCAATCTTTCACTGTCACATCTTACTGATTTTTCATTTGATAAAAGACTGAATTAACTTTGTTAGTCAATATCCGAGCACTTATTTAGGAAGTTTGATCGACATGTAGCGACATCTTTAACATTAAGCAGAAAAACCATTGCACATGAACGGAAAATATGTGAAACTCATTACCTTGAACAATAATTCTTTCATTCTGAAAAAAAGCTGAAGCTAGGGACTTTCTGAGCACATCGCTCATTTTTTATCATTTCTTAATGATTAGTTTTAAAGCCAACATATATTATGATAATTTCAGGTTTATTTATTTGCTGTGCTTAAGTTGGGTAAAATTTATGGAGCTTATGTAACAGTTGTTTACTTGTTCGTAAAAAGTTTGCATCTATGTAATGTTGTCGTACAATTTATAATGTTGAATAATTTTCTGGAAACATCCGATTATCCATTTTTTGGTGGTCATGTCCTCTATGACCTCATCATGGTAACATTTTAATTTTTTACAAATTATTCGTTTCATTTTTCTACTTCTTCTTCATAACCATTTAACTGCTATTTTTGCAAATATACTACTTGTTTTAAGATTAATAAAGCTTTCAATTTTTAATAAAATTACCCAAAAAGCATTATTTGTTGTAGTATTCAGAGAGAAGTTTTAATTCGAAACTTTTTATAATTGAAAAAATATAAATATATTACGAGGTCGTAATGTAAACGAACTTATTAAAATATTTTTGAAATGCATGAAAAAATACGAAGTTAGGGTCGAGAATGGCGTGATTCTGGACGTTTTCCACGAGTAACTTTGTGTGATTTTGAAATACGGGTTTTGGGTAACGTGCACCGACACACAGTGCAGTGTGTTCTTGTTGTGAATATGTTCACAGAAAAGATTTTCCTATTTTTGTGGCTTTGGCTTCTGTTGCTGTCATGTGGTACCGCTATTAATTTAATTCTATGGATGTTATCGCTATCCCTCGCAGATTGGAGACATTCTTTTGTCACAAAATTTTTGGAATGCGAATCAAATCAAACACATCGTTTTGTGCATCATTTCCTTCGTCACGATGGTGTATTCATATTACACGTATGTTTTCTCCTGAATCAGAAATTTTAATTGATTAATGGTTCTATATCATTATTCCTGACAAAAAAAACACATATTATTGAAAAAATCCATAAGATCAAGAAATTTATTTCTTCATTTTAATCTTTAAAGGATGAAAGATTATTTGGTTCGAAATTCCTCAATATTCACTCACAGTTTTTCAGTTTTACATAAATATTCCTATGACATTTTATCTTTTTATTAGTCATACTAATTAGCAATATACTAAATATAGTTTCATACTGGCAGGTTGCCTATTAAAATAATTGAGCAAGATTAGCCACAACAGTTACTTTATATCTGTTACTGAAAATCGCAAGTAAATTGACTGTGAGTAATTGTAAATTGCTCATGAACTGATCTCCTAGCTACTGTTCTTTAAAAATTTACAGATGATCGCTTCACATGGTGGTAATATCGTGTGTGCTCGCCTTACCGAATCCTTATGGATGAAATTTTTGCAACGAAGCGGTAAGTTGACTGTGTTTGATGTCGAGAAAGCAATATGTGCTGAAAATCGACGAAAAAATGAAAGTGGCAGTAAGCGTGTGGATGAGGAAAGCTGGCGTGAACCTACCCTACCACCTCCAATGCCTTTGCTACCTGCTCCTACTCAGTTTGTTTAATACTTTACCAATCATAACGTATGAAAGACAGAAGTAATCGTTGCTTATCCAAGAAAATTCTTTCTTGCACAGTTGGAAAGTAACGCTGCAGAGATAAATTACATTGTTTTTTTCATCTGCCTAAAACTTGCATATCTCAAGTGTTACATGAGATCAAGGTGAAAAGTATGCATTTTGGCCAAAACAATAGTTTGATGTTTTTTTCTGAGTGAATTGCTGTTTAAGGAACATATTGTGAGATATAATCTGAAAACTGTTATTAATTAAATCTGTTAAGATTACTGAACTGTTTTAAGTATATGAATTAGCAGTGATATATTCTCAACGATCTCATCAATTTATTTCATGGTTTCAATAAAAATAAATCAACTCAGTGTTTAGAAATGGTGACACTATAAATTGACAATGATTTGAAAGGAATTTAACTTTACCTTCTAAAATTGCTTTACATTAAAATCGCCTTTCCATCCTCACTTATCACTTTTTTTCTTTACAGAAAGTTTGGCAACTAGTTTTGATTGACCCATCGTTCCACACTTATTAAACCGACAGACATTACTTACCAACTTCCTGGACATTAAAACATTCCAGAATCTAAAAAAGCATCTTTTCTAATTAAAAAACTCAGTGTATAGATTTCAGGAATTTAAAGCTTATCATTAAATCTCATTCACAGCAATTGAAGGTTCTCGAATGCATTATCTTTGGGTCATCCAACATGAACTACTCATGTACTGCAGATGGTCGGTCATAAATCATTTCAAAGAATTGCACGTCAGTACAAGCTGTCATGCTCATTTGCATTCTCATTGTAAGGATTCTTTAATTTTTGCCTCAGAACAATATTTGAGCATACAAGTCTATATTTCTCGACATAAATTTGAACAGATCACAGATTCCTTCTCTCTCCAACGTTGTCTACAATTCATTTCTTTGTTGAATCCTTCTAGCTCATAAAAACTGAGTAAATAAGAGAGCGATAACTGCTGATCTTAACTGGTAGTAGTATGAAAATGCTGCTAGTAGAAAAGAACGCGTTAATGCACAGTTTTCAAAACGCATTTGCTACTGTTTTCTTTCGTTATTATCTTTTATTCTGTCGAAAAAACGTAATGCATATATATCACAGGGGAAAAAAAGTTCATACCAAGCAAAATTTGAAGTACATGAAAAAAGAGAACTTGTTGGAAAGACGAATTATTAATATGCTCTTGACTAAGGAACAGCACTAGACAGAGAGCACGAATTTATGTAGTTCACGCAGTTATGGAGTAAAAAAAGTTTTACAATTTTAGATACGAAAAAAATCGCAAATTGGCAGTGAAAAATTCATATCGCTATTTCAGCAACGTTCTTGGATTTCACCTGCAAAATAATTTAACATAAAACTACGTTTCAGTCTGCTCAAATGAAAAAAATTGAAAAATTCGGTTTCAAGGATAACTGAAAGATTAAACATTTATCAATAAGGTCTTAATAAAAATCAGAGTCGTGAATTTTTGATAAAAGTATGTTGAAAATAAAGAATAGTTTTGTAGTTTTTTGCAAGTACAATTTGGTAAAATAATGTGAAAAAAAGCTTTCACGAGAGAAGTTTTCTAAGATGTGATCAAAGTCAAAAGTGTAGTTAAAAACTGGTTAGTAGTCTATTATTAGCAAATATCTGTATACTAAACGAGCTGCAAGCCTTGATAATATGTCGTGCATAGCATTTTATTTTCTTCTATAACATGGTCTTGAAGTTTTTCATTGAATGGCTGAACATTCACAGTCACAAATAATAAATCAATCAGCCAACCATTTTTGGAAACGAAAAAGTTCATTTTCGAATTATCAAAAGTTGAATGATAATATTAAAAAGCAAGGGAACTATTACTTTGAATAATATCTGATGAGTGCAAAAATTAATGAATAAAATCGTTCTCATCATTTATTTACCAGAAGACGACCAACCTTCTTTTAGGCCAAGGCATTGTCCCCATTCTTGTATTGATATATTACCGTCGTTATTGTCATCACAATTCTCCAAGAATGGTTTAATGCATGATTCCATTGGAATCACAGGTGCTGTGATAGGAATCAGTTCATGGTGGGATACGTGCTTATCATGAGGTTTAATATCCAAATCACAGAATTTCCAGATAACTGGATAGACATGTTTTTTTTCATCATTTGATTCTGCTTCTGCAATAAGCTCTTCCCATTCCAAATTATGCAATTCTCGCCGCTTTTTTAATTCACGCATTACCTAAAATCTGGGTTCAATAGTTTTTGCAATCGAAGTAAAAATATCAAGCTTAGTGAACTGATTAATTCTAAAAGGCAATACTGTTTTTAGCGTTTTGCTAACACATACATTTGTTTATGCTGCAATACTGTCCCTTCACTGAAATAAGTTTCTACTTATTTCATAATAAATGAAAATAATTCAGATACTCAAGTATACTTGAGTATCTGAATTATTTTCATTTATTTGTACTGAAAAGGCAGACATGGATTCGACAACTAAGCACCGTAACTTGAATTAGCTGTAATTAGTAATTACTCATTGTAACAGATTTGAAGAGGCAGAGAAACTTTCAATGATTAAAGGTAGTACACATTTTTGCACTTTTTCAGCAACAAATCTAGTCTAGTAAAGACTACAATAACTAGATTCCTGCTATAATTTCTCAAGGAATCTCATGCTTGTAAAAGTTTCGCATTATTTTAGTAAAGTTTTCACGATGTATCAAAAAAGATTTTACACTTTCATTTGTCTATCCCATTTTCGCAACTTATATGTTAGCAAAACAATAATTTATTTAGATTTATAAGAATGTATTTAAGTTAAAGTTAATGAATACCTGAAACAACCAGTCAGCCATTCGTGTTGGGAACTGAGCCATCAGTTCATCGGTACAGGGTTCTAGCCTTTTGCAAACACCCAAATATTCCAAATGTACCTTTGCATTGATTTTATTCTGAAAAAAAAAAAGGAAAAAACAATAACTTTATATTACATAATCGGTTTAGATTAAATGTAATTCGATTATTTTGAAAAATTTGAAAATTTTGCTTTGATTTTGTAGTTTCTACACATATATAAGAGTTCCAATATTTGACAGATGCTAATCTTCTTTCTGCGAAAAGTTAAAATTGTTGAGCTATAACATTCCATAAATCTTTATATTTGAAACTCCCATAAAGATTGGATAGGATAACAGCACTTTTTGTAAGCTGTTAAATCAAAAAAGCAATCAACCTTGCAGTCGTTGGATTTATGCTTGCAAACGCATCTTTCACGATAAAGTTCACATAATGATGGAAATGTTTGATTTGTATTGCTGCAAACCTAGAAAATCCTAAACTGCTTAAGGAGTCTCAACAAATATCCACAGTTATTTTACAAAGAAATTATTGCACAGCAAAAGGATATTATAATGAGAGTTGTGGATTAACTATTGATTATGACTATGTATACATTATTCCTTCATAAAAAATTGATTCCGATCTGAAACTCTATGATTTTTATTTTACAACTGATCAAAACCTGGTCGAGTGGATCACCATCTAAGGACGGACACTTTGAAATACAATCACAAGTTGGTTCACCAATTTTGTTTATAACACATTCTTTACCCCAGCCACAAATAAGTTCTTCACATGGATTCTTTTGAATAGGTGGTTCTGAAATGATGTTAAAAGTGCTCTCTCTATAAAAGTCTACATTGATTTAATTTAATTTATGCCATAGATGTAAGACAACTGCATCTCGCAATAAGCAATTTTGCAGTAAGGTTGAGGAGAGTAAAGGGAAAATCAGAAAGTAAGCGATTTCAGATATCAAAGTTATAATTTATCGCTATCATTTGACTGCATTATTACACAAAAGAAACTTTTAAATAAGTTGCCAACTAATGAAAAATTTTATCCGGGCTTTTCATTTCTACTACAGTTAGAGCAAAATATCACATTAAATTTTAAACTACCTCAGGAAATGATCGAATGCTTCTATTAAACAATGAAAAATTCAATCCTCGTTTAAATAATCTTTAAGTGAATTTCAAGAAAAATAAGTTCTGATTTTGTGGCACATACAAACCATGTGTGTATTTTTCAGTCATTTCAGTAGTTTTCTCATCGATATTCTCTAGCAACGTTTCCAATTCATCCCAGTCATTTGCTTTCTGAAATTTCCTTATGTTTTTGCTTCTTTGAAGACTTTTGACACTTCAATGTTTCAGATATGAACATATAAAGAACCATGAACAGAAAAGAATGATGAGTTGTAGATTCTTTCTTCTTATAATGCATTTCTGGCCACATAAAAAAATTCGAGAACAAATAGTAGTAACAGATGAATGGTAACAGTTGGTGCTTGTCTACTTGTAATTCCAAGAAATCAAAGCAGTGCGAAGATATACTACGGTTAAAAACTACTTTGTTCAATTAAAACAGATCACCATTGATTAATAATCAACACTCATAATAATCAGTGCCGATCAGTTTAAAAAAAATCTGAGATATCATCAGCAGTACCGTTCCAACAATCAATTCATTTCTGACATGAATATACAAAGCAGTTTCATATAATCCATGATATCCTAAATTTCTCTTCTTCAGCCTTGATGAAAGATTTTCAAGCTTATCAGTACTTCAATGATGTGTACAACGAACAAATCGAAAATACAAAAAAATTGCTACTTTCAAAATACTTTTGAAATCCAGTAATGAAATGCAGAAAAGATTTTCAGTTTCTTTTTTGAAACTGGAAGAATATGACTCAACTTTCGAATTCTTACAGCTCCAAATACTTTCGAAACTAATTCACTTTGGAAAATGTCTATGAGAATCAATCCTTACAATTATTATGCCTCAAAAGATCAGTACCTATACCTTGTGAGTTAATTCAAAATAAGAAACAATTTCTGACACAAGATGTCATATCTGCATTTTTTTATTAAAATATTAAAATGACCTGGGAGAACCACTCCTTACACCACTAAGCATACTTCATTTCATGAAAAGAAGTCAGATTTTTAGTAATCTGCATTCCTTTGCAATGATGGATGGTTTCTAAAAATCTTAACTGATGACGAAATTGCCGGTTATGGTTGCTGGAAACCAAATAAAGGTGACATTCATTGCCACCATCTTTTAGCACCTTGTACTGATATGGAAAAGCAGGAAAATTTCTTTTGATTTAAATACTTCTGCTAGCAGTGCCATACTTGCAGCATATGCTAGACTTCTCTACTTCTACATTCACAAAGTGATCTCATGTACTATTTTTTAAGCAAATTTTGAAAAATCATCCAAGTATAATGCTTACAGAAAATGCATAATAAAAGTTGTTGAAATTATTAACTGCACAATATTGGTCTGAAACCTCAACGACTGTTTCGAATAATCTTTTTGATTTTTGATATATCCTACATACCAGAATGATAAGAACCATTTTATTAGAACAATAAGTACCATGTTAGTAATTATTCAGCGATAGAAATCATGACTTTCTTTCAAAAAGTAGTATACTGACTGGGCTGAATTTGGAAAGTATTTTATACTTGAAACATTTATTTGCAACACCTATCAAAAATTTACAATTCCACGCTGTTTCCAGTCCAAATTTTCTCAACAACTAAAGAAATACGGTGCTATGGTGAGGTAGTGAACTAGAAAAAAGGAGAATTTTAAAAGAGAACTTCTAAAATTGAATAGTAGAGTATTAAAGGAAAGTAAACATAGATAAATAAACGAAATGCTGAAGTAAATGAGTAAATACCTTCCTAGCGAAAACCGCGTTGATAGTTATGCACAAGACGCCAACCAGCAAAGCTGCCACTTTCATCGTGTTACTTAAAGCCAAGTAAACTAGTTAAATCTCCTTCACTCTGAATACTTCTCGAGGAGGGCCCACCTCTGACAACCTTCATCTCCATCTCCACCTCCAACTCATCCATTCAACAACTACCCCACGTCACCCATATCCTATCGCAATCCATTTCACTTAGTTAATAGATCCCATCTCACCTCAAATTTCACACCAACTAGCATACTTTAACATAATTTCATGCTAATTATTCTAATCAATTCCAACAAATAGCCATACTCGAAATAACTATATAATGACTTACTTAAAAACTGCTATTGATTTCAGCAACAAAAAATTATAGAACACACTACTGCTAAGCAAATCGCTTTTCTAACTCTGCTTAGAGGAAATAAAAGATACCCGATGAAAAGAAACCGACGCTGAAAAACTGATGCAAGATCCAGTTATAATTACGCACAAAAACTCAATCTCAAACTTTTGCAGAGTTACACCAGCCTTTAGGTACTTTCTTTCGCGACTTCTGAGGAATCAAATCATCCCGCAAGTGGAACTAACTTCCTATCACTAGCTGCTGACATAAGCCTCACGCCAAATTTTTCAAACTCAGAGCATAACTCTTCACACACAAACCACTTATGTCATTATCTCCATCTCACAACGGATATACTTATGTGCAACCAAAGAAGATAAGAACAGTGTGATGGAAATCAAACAAGTGAAAACAGAAAACCGGATAAGAACACCATCAGTGAATTGCTCGTTTTCGTGAAAAGATTCCCTCTTTAAAAGCTTGTCTTCGAATGCCCACTGGATAACAAAATAGTTGGTAAGCATGTTTCAACAAAATGACATTGTATTTATGCCAACAAAAGAGGAAAAACAAGATGCTCAATAATAATGACGACTATGTTACGAGGCGTACTGACTACAATCATACAAGATAATCAGCTGATTTCAAATAAAATTGATCCCAAATCTTGGTACATCATTGACGGAAGTGTGCTCCGTACACGAAATGAATGACAACATTGAAGAACATAACAACATTCTATAGCACATTTTCAATAAAGACATAAGAAATTTAACAACATGGATAAAATGCTAAGCCAATACCATATTTGTGCTCGTCGCTGAAAGCTGCCATCCCAAACTGCGCAGACACAGTCAAACTCAGCTGAAAATTTTTTGCATTATAAAATAGCTATATTGCTTCTGAATTATTTTCATGACTTGAATATTTTCCAATGAAAAGATCATAATTAGCAATAAAAGGAAATAACATACCCGGGCAAGAAATCATTTCCTACAACAAAAAGAGCACAAATTAAATCGGCGAATCAAGTGAAGATGCATTACGGATGAATAATAAAGCAAACCCGATCTGATAGTTTATGAGTGAGCGCAACTGCAACTTTTGACTCATGATCTACTTTCGCTTTCATTTCCAGTTCTTGGGTGGGATTGTACTTCATCGCCAAACCAAAACGAGCATTTTCTTCACCATTAGCCCAGCCGAACATCGCACCAATTTTCAGATTCTACAAGTACAAGAATCGTAGTAATTACAGAACACGCTGGATTCGCTTCTGATTTTACTTGGAAATGAACTTAAGCTGAATATTTTATCAAAATAACTAGAGAGAGATAGAACACTATGAATATTATTCTTTGCTTTACAGTTATTAGAGTCATTAGTTATAAAAAAAGCTTCCCATAGAAACAATTTTTTTCTCATAGCGAGCAATGAAAGTGACCAGATCTAAGACTCATCATAATTAAACAAGAATGCTAAAAGTTTGAGCAAATTAAATATTTACTATTTAGTTTCAAATGCCTGGAAAGAACAAGTTATACAAAAAGACTAAAAAAAACTTACTGAGGTTACACTATGGAAGAATGAACCTCCAAATTCTCGTGCATCATTGACAAACGAATGCAAAACATGATCAGTTCCTATTTTCCCAAGTGAAAAGCTAACACCCTGAAAATTTGTCACCAGTATTAACGATTATTATAACAAATAGAACAGTAATGGCATCAGAATCACGAGTATTGAAAATGATGAACCTTAAGTTCACTGCTTGAAACATCAAATGCTGTTTGCATCCCCACTAGCCAGCCATTTGAACCAGTGACAGCAGACAAATTCATTAAAGGACCGGTATCTAATCCAATATCAAGATTACACTGAAAAAAAAGGCAACAGTTTATGAATCTCCTCACGAAATTTCTGCATCAGTAATATACTGCAGGTAACGAATCAATTAATCAATTCAGTACAATTTAAGAATAACTTATTTGGTTTGCCATTTTAATCAAAACTAAATTGACTACAAATTCTCTATGAATGAATCTATTTCCTAACTTGTAAGAACAAAGTTAACAGACCAATAGAAACGGTTCATCTAACAATAATGGTAACCAAACAGAGCTGTTTAAAGCTTTCGAAACCATACCGTAACATTTTTGTTCACCCACTCGGCTTTAAATCGACCTGATCGCTTGCCAACTTGTGGAGTATACCATGAATCCACTATCAATTTCAGACCCCTAGCAAATCGGTCTTGTATTTCAATCACTGATCCCAGTGCATTCTCTGTATTCCATTTTTCCGTCAAAACCAAACCTACAATGTACCATTCATACAACTTTACTAGTTCTTAAATACTTCAACACAATACCAAACCTTTATAACTTATAGAAACCTAAATAACCAGTATATAGAATAAGTAGCTAAAAAATTAAACCATTATCTGCACGCAAGAATTACAAAACAGAATATGAAAATATATGTCTTGCTGATGATTTTAAATGTATCAAATAAATAGTATAATAACATTATATTACTACCAAATTGAAATTAAATACTGTACTGACAAAGAACGGAGTAGAAAAATAAAAAATGTTTACTACAATGCACATTGAAAATTTTCTATTTATAAATTAGAAGATTGCAATAATGACACAACAGTTATTTTTACCGTAAGCGGGAACACGGTATTTGATGTCAAGGTTTCCAGCAAGTTTTCCCGTGGCAACAGAATGTACTGCAGCACTAGAAAATTCGATTTTTTGATCGTCTCCTGATCTTGAATGTGTGTCGACACGTAGTGATCCAAAATCTGCAAATTTTTTAAAAAATAATTCACGAAAAAGGTATTAAAATTATGCATTTTGAAAATGATAATTTAAGTTCTCGCTGCCATTTACAAGAAAACACTGTATATCTAAAAAAAACAGCGCATTCACACATTTAAAAATTTACAGAAGTCAATTGATGAAAATATTACTTTCATACATGAAAGTAATAATCTAATATTCGAGAATATGCAGAAAACATGGTTCTAACCAAAGAGAATCAGGGTAGCATGTAAATGTACTTTACAAGCAACGAATATCAAAATATGATCACTTGGTCGCTTTATTTACTGCTACATTGCTTCCCATATCTACACTCATTTTACATTTGGATTCTTCCACTTCACAAATGAACTACACTGAATATGTTAAATGCTTGAGAGACAAGCAAATAATATGAAGTTCTAACCAAGATCACAAAGTGAAGAAACAAACTTACTGTATCCTTTGGTAAACAAATCTCTGGCTGCCTTACCGAGGTCAACGTAAGTTGGAAAAAACATCTTGATAACCTACAAAGAAAAAGTCCGAAATATCCATAAACAGAAATGAAATACACAAACAATTACATTTAGTGGATGAGATCACCTACTACACTAGCTCGTTCTTTCGATTTCCTAGTCAATACGGCCTACTTCTAGCCTCCTCATTATGAAACGTTAACATCCATTCATCAAACACAACGCCAAGTAAACAAACGAAACTTAAAAAGAAAGGGAGGTTTTTAAGAAACAATCCTGACGTGTCCCATATCTGTAGATAAGAGACCTTGAAACAAACATTATGTTTAAAAATCACAACTAACCAAATTCTATCAAGATCTTACAAGTATTCTGATTGAAAATTTTAACAGACTGCTTTAAGTCATAGTTGTTATCGTTTTCATGAAACTGTACGCAAAAGAACTGTAGATGAATCAAAAGTAACAGCTGATTCAAGACTACTGAAGGTATTCAAATATTAATATTTCTAATACTACTGTAACTTTGTCTAGTGGCTCATTTTACTAATATTTTTAACGAGTAATTTTGTCCAGTGGTTCACTACGAAATTCTTATGAACATTACAAATTGAAGCACAGCAACAGTGTCAGGAATTTTTACATGATTTGCGAAAATCATAAAATGACTTTCACGTGTGTAACTCATAATTTGTATTATTCAGCAATGCATATTTCAGAAGATGTGGCTACAAACTGAATCTTTACGAACGTGACTTATAATAACAGAGAACTGAAAATAGTGACCTACTCAGTACTGAAAGATCAACTCCTTACGAATAATCTAATACAGAGTAGCCAATAAATTCCCAAACAAAGATCTGACAACAGCTGCATGAGTTAGCAGTGGATGGAAAGCAAATAATCAAACAACATTTTTGCGGTCAGATAGAAATAATGCCTTGTATTATTAATGCATTGATTTATTACAGCAATAAGGTCAGTAAACACACAAATAAACAGAAGTAAGCTGTAGTGAGACTAACTGTCGAACTCTTTCAACAAGTCTTTAGTGTTCACCGCAAGCAGCAATAAGATCTATTAGACTAATTCTATTATTCACTTCAACAATAAGTCTCTGATTTGCCCATAATGTTCATCATTTTTCTAATGCAAGCAAACTAAGAATGGCTACTTCCCCGGCCACAATCCGTACGTAAGAGCTTGAACTAAATATGTAGATAACGTATAAAATATAGATATAATTATACGTATAAGCGCAAGTTTCGTTTCACGATGGCCAGAAATATTTTTATACGTTTTTCAACGTTCTGATTATCTTCAACATGTGCCTCTTGATACCTCATCCTTTATGTTGTTACTGAAGATTGGTAGTGATTTAATTGAGAATAAAAATTGAGCGGAATTGTTTGTATGAATGATGCCATATTCGCTAGATATTGATAGCAAACAGTATTTTTCATTCTCATATGCAGTAATATATTCTCAGTGTTATTAAATGGTAGAGAATGTATTATGGTAGTTATTGAAGTATATTTAGTGGCATTCAGTGTCAGTATTTTACTCTACCAAATATTGACGATTTCGTTCATAATTATTTGTTATAGTTATTGCACATTTTCACAGTAATCAGTTGGGTATTTGATGAAAAGTTATGCAATTTGCATTTTTTTTAATTCCCTGACTATTCAAGTAATAATCTTAGTTTTTACAGAAAATCTTACTATTTGTATTATTGACAGGAATGTTGTACTATTGATTGTCTATCCCTTAAAGCATCTTTCAGATTCTTTTTTTTCATTATCAACTGTGGAACTGTTCTTGCTCTGAGGCTTAGTTCCTGGAAGATTTTATGTTTCTCTTACAGTAAGCTTTTGAAAGCAATTATTTGTTTGGACTTTGTCTGCATGCATATTCTAGTTGAATACCTAATATATCAGTACACTTTCAGCATGCACTGATGCTTGATAACTGTCGCGTTATATGATTGTAAAGTGGAAAGTTACTTCTAACTATAGAACGCTGTAAATTTTTTCAGTCTCGCGATCCTAGAAAACTTACTCTTATGGAGTGTCGTAATTATATTTTAGTATTTATTAGTTCTGATTTTTAGTCGCAGAAAAAATTGGAATGGTATGATAACTTCGAAACGATAAACTGGTAATGTTTTTATCCTTGCGAAGAATACAATGGAGGCGTTGGAATGATTCTGTGCTGAAAAAGTTCAAGCAACTTTCGTTACTGAAACGAATCTCCCTAACAGCAATTTTCATTCTTTCCGCATTTTATTTTCTTGCATCCTTCTTTACTTCCTCATTCATCTCAGAATCTGAAAAATGTCTTAATGAACGTTTACTTGAATGGACAATTTTAGAAAAAACATATGCTGTCGCTATTTCAAGAAATAATTTTGGATTTACGGGCAACGGGTTCGTTTCATTATTTAGTGATAGGGTTTTTCATTTGCATATTTCTAATAACTAGATAATAATGCAGAAAGTAGTGTAAATACAAATAACTAATAAAAATGTACAATTTTTGAGCATAATTTAATTCAGAAAAGCATTGTGTGCTATAAAATCTGTTCAAGGTTCATTGGAATGGGTGGTGATGGAGAGTTAAGGCTTAAAGCAACATTATCTCGAGTATTATCAGTTCGAAGTGCCTTTTTCCCATTTATTACTGCGAAAATCCTAGATTCAGAATTCTCAGAAAGTTTCGTCACTGATTTTCGAGACGGTACCATCATTGCCATACGATGTTATCATATTGTGCGTAATTTCCTTTTTTTTTGGTTTCTTATATCCTAGTTACCTATTTTTTTGAAAAGAATCCTATTTCAATATCATTTGCTTATCTTTTACAGAATGATCAATGCATATGTACTACTCAGCGAATATATGCTCATCGAAGAAGGCCTCATCTTTTAATTCAAGAATTTCGTGCTTCCAATCCATCGGTATTATTCGGGCATTTCGTGAATTTTTTAAACAAAAGCAATAGTTTTAACATTTCAGTCTTTTTCTGCCACATTATTCTATTTTGTTTTAGACTAGCGATATCGAGATCAAACTCATGTTCACGGTTTCAAAACTTTGGAATCATATTAAGAGGTTTGTTTATTCATGTTATTTAATTCTGTAAGTTTCGCAGTTCGGTGACAGGTTTTGTATCAAAGAACTCCTGTGCTTGTGCTTTAAAGTGTTAGTGCTTTAACTGAAATTATTGAAATTTAGAAATTATTAACATCGTACACTTGTCCCTTTATAAAAGCTTACATCGATGGTGGAAAAAATAGGAATGGATGACTCTTAACCGATTTAGACCTAAAAATTTTGAATTGTCTGGATGAAATAGTTCAAGTTGCAGGGACAGTGTCGCTGATCCACTTTACACGCGTTATTTTGAATCAGATGGAGCGCATACGCTGGCTGCTATTACTTGTAATGAAGTTCCTGAGACTGTTACAGTGGGGCAGGGACATGACATTTTTATACGCTTTCTTTGCCTTATCAGTTATGTGTCTCCACTTCAGAAAAACAAAGATGAGGAATTAAAGGTGTTGGAAGAAAGCATAGTTAAGGTGTATTATCAAATTTTGAAAATATTTTCAAATAGATCGCTTGAAAAAATTTCGCTTCTTGTCCACACTAAGTTATTGTTTTTGATAACATAATGTATAAAAGTGAGTTGAAATTTGACAAAATGTTAAACAAAAAATCAATTTGAAGTATTTGCTCTCAAGATTATTCAAAGACTAAGCATCATTTGTTTAATAGATTCAGTGCAATTATCATTTATTATAGGAGCTTGCACTCTGTAAGATGATGGAGGGAAACATTTTGTATCGCGAGCATTCTACAGCATGGAAGCGAGTACTGCAATCTTTCCTTTATATGTTTTATGTTTCACTAGTTTTGAGCTGAATAGTCATCTTTTCATTTCTTTACGTGATAAAAATATTTTTTTCAGCTGAATATAGTTACATTTGGTATTTCGAAATCTTTGGCACCAAATGCTCTTAATGCTGCGGAAATAAACTCTACACGTCATATGTTGCTATCAAATACACGTGATCCATTATTGGAGATTGGGTTCGATAAGGAACGGAAAAAAGTTTGTATCACTCTTGTTTATCATCTGTAGATAATTATTTGACACAATCACACAATTTTGTTAGCATATTGGGTATATTTTTAGTGATACAATCATAGAGAGTTAGCTACTAATTTTTAGGTGTGTTATAAGTCTAGGCTCTAATAAATTGTTTTTAACGGAACATGTAATTTTGCAGGCAGCATCTTCATCACTCAATAAAATGCAAATGTGTTATACGGGTCATTCAACTCTTCTCGTACCTTCACGTTTGTGGAAAAGATCTAGCAATATGAATGACATGATTGAAACAATGGATATTTGGTTACTAACTCTAGAAAAACGTGGTTGTGGTGAACTTTTGAAAATCGGTGCTAGTGGTCTTGCTGAAGCCTTTGTTCTTAGTCTTCTGGCGTCCAAGTGATCTTTTGTTATATTAACTTATTTTGTTTCTCGAAAAAGAAGTTTCAGTGATGCGAATTAAATTTTTGCAGGTTTTCTAATGAGCATTTGGAGGTAAATATTGATCTGGCTGATTTGCAGCGAGAAATAGTAGTGAATGATATAGCATATTCTCCCAACACACGGATTTCTATAAGTATATTATTGAATGACGGCAATCGACCTTACTTCATGATCTCTTCTAATTCGCAGGTTGTGCAATTTTTAGATTAAAATCTTTGTTCGAAAGAAGAACGAAAAATACATCTTGTCATGTTTTTTTGTTCCAGGTTTTTGCATGTAATGCAGCTTGTTTAAACAGTCCAGTAGCCGTCGGACCTACTAATGTACATATTCCTGTGAAAATAACTGTACCAGCTACTCCAATTTTGTACATCTCGCACAACAAAAATCACTTGGAGCAGTTAAGGGGTACTATACACGTTGTTGAGGTGAATCTTTCTAATCGGGATAACTATTTTCCGTAAAAGATTTGAGCATCTCTTTTTTTAAATTTACAAACTTATTAAATCTCCAAACTTCTGATCGGAAATGTTTAACATGCATGCCTCTTTCATCTCACTTATAAAGACACGAATATGTTCTAGTCCCTATAAGTCTTTCACGTTTCCATTGATTTCTCATGGAAATTTCAGTAATCTGAGCAATAAAATTCGATCACAGCACTTAATCGAATCAGTCTTTCCAAAATAACAATGAAATTTTTTATTTCATGCTTCATTATCCTCTCGTAACATATTTCTGCTTCAGCTCGCAGATGCCCCTGCCCATGAACATGGATTAATTGCTCTTCACAAACACGGCCATCGACTAGGCGGTCTACCAGCATTGTTTTGGCTTATGCTCGGTGCATTAGTGACTGTATTCCATTTATTTTTATTTAAGTTACTTTATTCAGAGTGGAAAAAAGGTGACACAACGCCCTATAATTATTATTCGCGTCAGCGATATTTTCGGAGTCATTAAGCGATCGCTTTATAAAATGCTGCTGTTAGGCTGCTTGTAATATTATATCATTTCATTATTCATAGTTACATATGTCATACGATATGTTTTTCGTTGTCAGTAAGGCTCTTAATGCTCCTATTTTGTTTATGTGTTTCACGAAGATTGTAGGAATACCGATAATGATGCTTGCATTTATTTTGAATACTTCTATGTCAAAACTTTTTATCAAATGCAGAGTACTTCATCGAAACATCAAAAATATCTGCCACATATCAAATGAGAGATTACAGATGGCTTATTAATTTCACCCATAGTGCTCACTTCCAGTTTGAATCAACCGCACGCCAAGTAATTCACCCATATCTTCCAGGGATTGTGCTACCGTCGACAAGTGTGCATTCGGAACTTGCTGCAAATGTAACCTCATGACTATTCAGATATGTAACCTCATGACTATTTCAGGAACGAGAAAGTTATAATTGATTCACAGAATTTAATAAATGCTTTTAGAGTTTATTAAATTCACAATAAATGCTTTTAGCATTTATTTGTGAAATTTTAAATTCATGTTCAACAAACAAGGGCTGTAAGTTTCAAAGTCATGAATTCAGGAAGCTAATATATGGCAAAAGCCTCAAGACTTTCCATCTTTTTTGAAACCGATTAAAAACTTACTTCGTATTGATCAAGAAGCATCATAGTGGGCGAAGAAGATTCGTCTAGACATACACGTATGAATTCCACCATGTGCCCACAACCAAGATGATCTGCCAGTATAGTCCATTTATCTTCTACATCCAATATTTTTGATAGTCGCAACCTCGTGAGGTAATCCAAGCAAGAAACATCATCTAAAGGATTGATAATGAGTCTTTGATGAATTTGTTGCGATTATAAGTACGCACATATGTACCAATATCGCCATCTATAACTAGTCTTGTTTCATTCTAATAGAAATGTTTCTTTTATACGATGCCATGATGTGTGAGTCAGAGATACAGTAATCGCTGCGACTACCAAACTTATCAGTGAACTGCAATTTTTATCAGTTAATTATGTTCACAAGGTATTAAACGCAGTCATTTCTGATCACAAGTTTTAGCTTAAGAACACATACAAACCTTTTAGGGTCTGAAGTTGATAGTTACTTGCAACATCGATACTTGTAGCTGTACTTTCTGACTCTTCACTCTGTAGTTCTCGTAATTCTTGCTCGTCTTCATCAGTGTTATCTCCGACATAAGTGTCAGTATTGTCTCGTACATAGGTGTCTACACGTTCACCATTTAAAATTCGTTGAACCTCTTCATCAAATGCTTCTTCTGGTCGTTCATCATCTGCAGTACATTCCCTCCTTCACTCAATTTTTTTTGACAATACCTCACTAATTATGAGTATTTCTCAAGAAATATTGCCTATTGCCCTCGATAATATTTGAGAAAATCGTAAAAGGCTTTATAAACCTGCTCCTAGAGAATTCATGGTGCATCCAGCATCTAGAAGACGCCCTATCATTACTAAATTTTTCTTCTTACATGCGATTTTAAGTGGTGTGTCACCATTCTTCGATGCCGTATTAATACCACAATTATGCTAAAAATATGCGTGCTATAATGGTGGCAGACCAAAGAACGATTCGGAAATACTTCTGTAAGAATTTTCGTTTCTCATTTGAAACAAAAAATGACCTGAAGGAGTAAGGAAGCCGCATCGACGTCATCCATATTGAGAGCCGTTAATAGTGGTGTGTCACCATCATTGTCTTGAATATCCAAAGGAGCACCAGCTTCTATCAATGCTTCTAACAAACCTAATTTCAACTTCTTAACAGCGACATGAGTTGGTGTATATCCATGACAATTTTTTATAGATAAAATGCTTCTTTCGGTCACGCCATTTTCGCTTTCTATCTCACCACTGTGTTTTGTCTCCAAAATCTCTTTATAAATTGCATCGTTGTAAACCTCTCCCAAGTAATGAGCAACCTAAGAAATTGCGTAGCCTAAATGTAAAATTGAATGGTTCTAATATATATCTACTTGAAGTTCATTTTGCTCATCTGCTTCTTAACTTACTGGAATATCGTGAGAACTGTATCCTGTTTAAATCATGCACCAGACAAAAGAATGATGAGCAGAAAATATGCAAACTTTTTATTGCAACACAAATGTGGTTAGTTCTGTAAAAATTTCACGAAAATAACTTCAAACTTACCGTATCCGAATTGTTATCCATAATATATTTCTTTGCTCCAGCACCGATTAAATAATGAACACAGTCAGGATCACCGGCTCGTACTGCACAGTGCAGAGCTGTCTGCCCTCGAGCATTCGTTGCATCAAGAATACTTTGACGTTCATTATCATTACTATACTCGCTGAGTACCGAAAGCAACGTTTTCAAGGCGAAATTCTGCTTATTACGTGCCGCAACGTGTAACGCACTAGAATTAACCATTTTTTCTCTAAAAATTGCCATGCAATCCATTCACAATCAATATTAAAATTTTCACAAAATTTCATTCTCCTCATAACCTTAAATTTTGTAAACAACAATCATATTCGTTTATAAACACATTCAAGTAGCAAACTTATAGTTATCAATAACGCACGTGTTGTGGACTACCACTAGTTTTAGCAGTAGTGTCAGCACTGTTGCTAATCAAGCAATTTAGTATGAACACACTACAATTTTAGTTTTAAGTATCTATATTTTTTGACAAATATTTTTTACTAGTTTTTATGCCAAAATATCAACACCATAAGTTTTTATTTTTTGCAAAAATATTGAGTAAATAGAAACTTGCAGCCGTCGTGGTCTGTTATACCGAGAAGAGGTACCAACAGTTTTACCAAAGCTTTTGGTTCTCCGCCAGCAGCAAATTCGAACAGCGATGCAACATGAGCTTCTTTATTTGCGGTTTCTAATGTATTCGATGATTTCAGTGCTGTATCCCTTAAATGTTTTTTTTTTTACTGTGTCCCTTAAAATCATTCATTTTTTTACGAACTATTTTGGCTTACTAAATAAGGTATTATGCAATACGAATACAGTAAGTACAGATTTCTATGGAATACTGTGAAGTCAACACAAAGCTCCGGAATTTGACAAAAAATAACAATGACGAAAAGATTTGATTTCGTATAGAGAGAGTACTATGAAATCAACACTAACAGCAACTCGATCTTTTTACCACTAGCTTTCAGATTAAATATTTCCAGTTACTGTGGCTGTAAATGCCATCACTGCAGAGATAAACTAGTAAGTACCAGGAGAATTTTACTAAAGTTATCCTATATTCTATAGATACCAATCAATTACGTGTAAAGTCAATAAAAAGTTGCTTAGTCACCTTATTTGCAGCTGCACCGGAAGCTCCAATTGCTGCATCCCATGTCTTAAGAATATTTTATAATGATTAGTAGATGATGATGCATCATCTGCTTTCTCCGAAACAACAAGCATTGGTAACGAAAATATAACTAGCTGAAAACCGCAAATATTTCTGAATATTTGGAATAATAATATAAGCATTTATGAAGGACAAGTCAACCTTATCGTGTATAGCCAATTGTTCTGCGGGTAGCATCCGATTGCCTATATCAACAGATATGTTAATATCAACTACTGATTTGTTTAACAACAACCATACTTTTTCTTTGGTGTTTCCAACAATATTCTGACTTACATCGACGATTTCAAGAGGAGCTATAATATCGCATCATTACACAGTGCGAAAATGAAAAAGATGAAAATACTTTGTTTGAAGGAAACATACTGTTATCCCGACGGATAATATCCGATACGATTACAGAAGATGCGGATGCAGTCGCTGCTTCAACCATAATTCGAATTACTTCTTCCTCTGCGCACCTTTCATGAGCTATTTGATCATCGGAAAGATGCCAGTGGTCTTTTTCTACGGTTTGTACTAAATTTTCTTCACTGATCTCTGTAGGTTTCTTTACGTATAAATCATCAAATCTGAAAATTCAGTCTTTTTGTTGACTATATACTGTAATAAAGTAGAAACGACACAATATAAAATCTGAATATTTGAACTGTAGTGAGATTATAAATATGTTCTAACTTCTAGTACTTTTAAGATTAATGAGATGCCTGAAATCATATCGTTATCAGCAACCAACTATTCATTATTGCACTTATGGTAAAGGTATATAATAAATCATAATATAAGTTGAGTTTACCATATCTATTAAGGCATAATTCTAAAATACTAAATACGCTTCAATGCTCATGACAGACTAAAATATGCCTGATTATTTAAAAGGCTGTTTGATTTTCAAGGGTATTGCTCATTTTACTGCTCATTGTAGTTTTGAAGCTTTGTAGAGCATTGCATTCAAAAATTTGTTTGCAAAAGCAATTGTGAAAGCACTAAAAACATTGCAATATAACATTTTCAGCAAAAGCTGGGAAACTGTGACGAGAGTATGGTAAACTGACATTGTTAAGTTTTTCAAAAAATCATTACAAATGAAACATAGTAGTGAATCAGTATGCATATTTGTAAGCTTTATATAGCTAATCAAGTCATAAAAGAGGAGTGAAAGTATGTAATTAAAATACCTGTGCGTTGTAGATTCAGAAATATGAAGGACAGATTGATGAGATGTAGTGAGCAGATGATGGGGTCGATAATCGGCTGTTAAAAGACGAACAGTAACTGTAATAGGTTGGCTAACGGAAAATGTTACAGCAAAATTGAGCGGAATGTGATCGGAGAATATCGCTTGGGGTGGTGCATGGAAGTGAAGCACAGGTAGAGTGCTTGCACCAAACAAAGATGCAACCATAGCACAGCTGTCCTTAGTTTAGTTCACAGCATGAAGGTTTGCAACATAATCAGTTGGTTAATAGTGAACTTGCTTCTACGAGGATTTTCAAACAGAACTCGAGCTCAAGTTTTTATTCTTGCATTCAATCTCCTTTCTGGCTCTCTTACAACTCTCCCACCATATCTTCTATTCTTTAGTCTTTGTTCTTTATTCTTATTCAGAACTACATGCTTTCTGTTCCTAGCAGATCTAGCTTCCTCACATTTTAAATGCTCTAGCAACGCAACTTAATGCTGAATACACCATTGTCCATTAATGATATTGAAGTTTGCTAGCCTCGTCTTCTCATATTTTATCCTGCTGCTTTTAATTTTCTCAACATCTGTTCCAAACCACTACTTTATTAGCACCACTGCTTCTTGTTTGCTCCTCTTGTCCTTCTTCTTAGATACTCACTTCATCTGCTGCTCACTTGCTTTCCGCTCAACAACTGCTACTCAGCTTAAAGAAAAATTCATTGATGCAAATGCAAACCCAGACTGATGCATTATTTCAAATACATGCTGCAATAAAATAAATGACATAAGTAAACTGAGCTTATGCTACAGGGAAAACTTGTCTTCTGAATCACGTCCTCATCTTTATAGATGGTAATCTGAATGGACTTATTCTGAAATCAAATTTGATTACTCTTTCTTACATGATACCAGACACTTTTCTACTTTTAAGAATAAACTAGAGATGGGTAAAAAAATCTGTAACGCACTCAAGCTAGGAACTAGAGAATGTGATAACCACTACTTCATTACAAACAGCGCCCCTGCAGTCCTATCTTAAAGACTAAAAAATATTGATATCTCAGTTCAGTATTACTCATGCTTCAAAACATAGGAGTTAGCGACAGAACCACCAAACATATCGCTTAAACACGCAACAAACCAAAAATCAAATTTACATCTCCATACCCATTACGATTAATTCCAACCACTATACAACTAAGCTGGTGACGAGATTATGCATATACAACTAAACCTTGCTACCCTACCTGGACACATCGGACGAGAAACAGTACCACCAACTTACTAACGCAATAAGCATAACATAGGCTAATAAATCATGAGATTTATACAACCTACATAGTGAATGCATGTGTTACGATTCTTGTTTATGAAAATTTTCAACATGAAACAATATAAAACAACTTTTATCTTTGAAATATATTCGACAACTAAACATCCAAATACAACAAAACAGAATACAGTAAAAACAACGGAAACAAATCACATCACTCGTCATCCGTAGGTACTGTTAATAAAGGTGGGTTCTTTTTGGCTGAGTTAGTGTACGAGCGTAGAACCCACTCAGTTTTCTCTGCATCGGCATTTTCCAATGTTCCCAATTTGATCAAGTAAGCTAAAGTAAAATAAACATACTACAGTTGAAAATTTGTGATTACAAGCAGCTATTTTTCGAAAATAAAAATAAGTGGGGTCAAAATGAAGATAAAATTAATATCAAAAAGCCGAGAGTTGTGAATAAATTATGAGTTATTCAGCGTTTGTCATAAATGATTAGTTTTTGTAGAAAACTTACGTTTCATTTCGAATCTTGGACCTATCTCCTGCAGTATTATTTCACCATGTTCATTTTTACTGTATGTATGATGCCGAAAACTGATGAAGTCGTGATTACCACTGAAAGTAATTATTCGCCTACTTTCAATCTTCGGCACGGGAAACAAGTACTTCAATATGTTCGTTATCTGGAAGTAAATAAAATTTTTTAAACCTGACAATACAAATCCTTGCAACATGAAAATTTTTGATGAAATAAGACAACGAAATAAAAAAGTAGAGCATGGTTTTTTTATGGACAGAATTAGATTCGAAACCACCTTAGCTTTATTTTGGATAAGTATTAAATTAACTTACTCTACGCCCAAGAGAAGAATTTAAACTGTCAAAGATGAGATGAGGATACTCCTCCGAAACTGTCCCAGAATCTGGAACTTCGTGCCGCATAACTACATTGGATAAAGTGAAGTAAGCTGTAGGTCCAAAAGGTAAGTGACAAACAACCAATCCATCAGGATTACCACGCGTCTCATTTAATAATATAAAATCCGTAATCTTAATGATACACATGATGATTGTCAGAGTAAAATTAAGATCAAAAACATTTTAGGGATAAAACTGAGATGTTTGCTCCACAATTAAAAATTTGAGGTTACAAACCATAAAATAAATTAGTCTTAAGTCAATTTTACTGTATTTAAAAGTTAACATTAATGTCAGCAAGTAAATGCTTTTTAAGACAAAACATCTAACTAGAAAATATTTTCCTGACCTACTGCTGAAATTTTTATGAAAATCATTATTTCTCTAATCTCTATCACTTTAAAAGTACATGTGAAAGTGGAAAGCATAAAATGATGAAAGAAGAACAAACTTCATTTGCTTTACAAGCCTGGATTAGTTTTTTAATATCATAATGACCTCGGTTGATACGTTGGGCATTTGGAAACATCAGACGCATTTCCTAAATAGCTTTTAATTTCATGAAAACTTTCTTGTAGTGCTTTCAAAAGTCAAAAACTTCTTTTAAACAAAATAAAGAATACTCACTTTTAAAAAAACTTTGAGCTTAGCAGAGGGATCACGACTTGTTGTTATCACGATTTTAGGATCTGCAATACCAGCGTGACGATATTCATCGTCGACAGTAGATACTTCCCCTAAATGCTATCAATGAGCACCTCTCATTACAAATAAGTACGAGCTTCAAAATGTTTCTTTTTACAGGAACCATTTCCAGTTCTAGAAGCACTTTCTTAAGAAATACTTTGAGACAAAAATCTTTAGCATTTCACAAAAGTCAGACATCAAAAATTAATCTCGTAACTATATTTAAATTATTTTTCTTAACTGCAAAAGACATGTGAGACAAACATAGTTCAGATTTCAGATCACGCTCATATCACAGCTTCATTATAAACAGTTTTTGGAAATAAAACAGCTAGACTATGACTATCATAAGTAGGAAATGGTTAATTTCGCTAAGCAAGATTCTTGCCTCCCCATTCAGAATCCTGCTGCAACATAATTGCATCCTTTCTTAAATGTGTCGGTATGCGTTTGTTTTCATCCACATATTTCTTCACCATTCGACGCTTCTCATCGATCAGATGTTGCTTTTCTTCCAAACTTTTTCGGAAAATATATTCAAGACGCAACCTAGATTCACGCCTGTTCATTTTTTTGTTCTGATTTCTATCTGAAATTTGTAAACAACTGCAGATAAGTCTGCCAATTCTTCTCGTCATATTTATATATGATACAAAGTGTACGATGCACTTAGCTGACCTTAAAATACTGTTGTAGGACTGAAATTCTCATAAAAAATTGTTAAAACATTACCATCAAAACCTCATAACGTTGGACAAGTATCCCAATTATTATCATTAACTGCTTAAGACATAGAAATAATGAACATTACTGCTAATACACACTAAACTGCCCGACTGATATTTCAGGGCTAGATGATGTACTCAATGGACTTGTGATGTGCAAAAGTAGTGAGTGAATCAAGCTAGGATCCCGACACTCTGTGTTGACCAGAAACTGATAGGAAGTACCATTAAGTTGACATTTCCATCCCGAGTACTGCGTTACTATGTTCATTTTTACATGTAAAGCAACGAACATAATTTAAAATTTTATTTGGAAATTAGACAAATCTGAGGTGTCTATTTGCTTGCCAATACGGAATCTAGTCATTCAACATTGGTGATTATTAAAAAGCAATCAAGTCATTCAAAATTATTTACTTCTCAATTTTAATCCAAATTAGCATGAAAATTGTACTGTGTAAGGACATTAGTACATATAAACATGCTCTATATATATTATAATATGGATGTCATAGAGTTTATTCTATAGTGTCATCAGTAAGTGAGCACAAGGTAAGCCATTAAAAATATATACAAAACACCGTTTATTTTGCTAATTACAAGTCTTCTATTTGTGAACAATTGCTAGTATTTTAGCTTCATTCGTCTACTTCTTTTGGTCTAGTACTGTGCACGCGCAGTTTGCGCGGGAAGTATGTGCTATCCGCAATTGCTTCTGATGCAATAACACTTACACGTCTTCTATCCAGACCAAATTCCGTAGATATAAAAATACTTCGGTTAAGGATGTGTAGTTCAGTTTCTTTTATCCGTAGAACTAAAAATTTGGCTACTATATCTCCAGACACAAAAAAGGAACAGACGCATTACAAATGTATTGACTTTCAGGTTGGGGGTAGACTTGGGTACTTTTGAACAAGTTGAAAAAAAGGAGACAACAGACTAAATAATAATTTCATTAGTACAAGTCGGTCAGTTAAATATAAACCTGTAAACAGTTGGGAAAACGAAAAAATACTTTTAGGAATGGGCATTAGAAATCCTGTCTGTAAAAAGTCATTAAGAGAACGCTGTAGCACTTCTGAACATAATAGCTCAATATCAGATAGTTCTTCGTCGCTTATTTCGATATTTCCCTGTACATGTTGCATCCGGAAAGTACTAAGTGTTATTTTTCCCAACAGTCTGTGATTCTATAAAAAATATGTAACTGTGAGAATATTTGAACAGAATAAATGAAGCCAAGTAAATAAGCTGCAATCCTTTCACTGGTAATTTCGTAGTTGTTGATGTAAGATATGCTTGCAATTTATGTTACCAACTAGCAAATATACCTCAATAAATATATTCATATCTGCCACAATATCCAAAACAAACGTTGCGGCTTGGTGACTAACATTGTCTTCGAAACCCACAGTATGTAAAAATACTAAACCTTCCACTTTCGCTCTTAGAATGCCTGTAATATCTCTAAATTTATAACAAACTTCAGTTTCTATATTTAATTAGTCAAGTAAGAATTACTGTTTATCTTGAAGCACGTGAAATAAATATCAAAATTAAACTAAAAAAGTGATATAATTAAATATTGAAAGAATTGTCGAACCGCCTTGCTCTGACTGAAACAACAACACAGGAGCTCGAGTGGGCTTGAAAATGAGTCGAACTTTGCTGTTTGGATATCGTTCAGTTAGTTGAGGTATCAAATCAGCTAAACAGATTCCATCTGAGCAAGATGTACGAAGTAATGAATGTAATGAAGAAACTGTCTGATCATCCACAACAAACTGCAGCAAATGTTCCCTGCAATGTTTTAATTGTTAAAATTAAAATTAAGCATTGTATGAACAATGTAGTAATCTTCTTGTATTCAAAATTTCATTTAATGATGAAATAGCTCCATTAAAAAAGCAGTGACTTGCATACAGCTGCCTTCTTGCCCAAATTTTAGTTGGAAAGAATATAGGATAACAGGGTGGTTGCTTAATGAAGATTTTGAACGCATTTCGTTTTTTCTTACATGTTGAGTACTGAGACTATCACTTTTTTTCATAGCAATAATGAAGATATCAACGGCATTCCAAGCATCACAAGGTTAGAATTAAGTGTAGGAGAGATGAACGATTTTTCGGTCAAATTTAAAAAATATTCAAACGTGATTACATTTAAATGCTTCAATATCATTACATAATTATTGCAAACCTACATGAAAGCATGGTAAAGTAGTGCGTTCGCAATGTAATCAGATATCAGCAAATGAATCATAGCGTTCTCCGAAGGTTGTTTTTTCCATGACATCGGTGGAACGCTAAATGGCGCTTTACTTGTATTAGAACCTGTTATTGAAATCTCGGCCATATTGTAAATTTCAATAGTATTATTGTAGCATACGGGGTCTTCACTTAGACTGAAATAAATATCACATAAATGTAAACATTTGATTTAAATGTAAAAAATTGCAAATTTAAGCAGTTTTGTTTTTACAGAAATTCAGTATTCGAAATCTAAGTCAAGTAGTAAGCTAAGCCTTAGAACTTCTAATTCCTTGATAAATCATGTTAAAGAAGCTTTTATATAAATTTTTGAACTACACTTTACTCATGCTGAAAGGATGCAGTCATCACATTTAAGATAAATTGATCACAACCAAACATCAGTCATTATTTTCAGGATTCATAATTATGTGATTACTGCTGCATGATAGTAATGAACTGCTCGGAAAATTCTTAAGAAATACTTTTTCAGTTCTTCAACGATAAACTTCAAATAAAATTCAGAGTAAGAATTAAAAATAAGTTTGCAAATTGTCCACAGCAAAAGCAAAAAAAAAAAAACCTTTACTAAAAATTAAAAGCAAAGCAGTTAACCTTTTACAAACTCATGCACACACATCACGCACACTTAGATACAGAAATTTCAACAGACCTGAAATCAACGTATACTCTTGAAGCTAATTTCTGCAAGTTTATGTAACTTAAATTTTAGCAAAACTTGCTTCATTTTAATTGGTTTATATTTACATTTCAAATTACATATAGAAAACAGTAACGCTATTTGTTTCTGATCCGCAACTTTCAATTGAGCTCATAATAATTTTACGGAAGAGTAGATCAACTGAACTAAATAGCTCATTATTATATACTCATTAAGCCAACTTTTTCAAGCTAACCATAGCAAAATTTGAGTCCGATCTTACCAAAAAAATTTTTGGAAATTACATGATTTTCTAACATACCCTTAAAAATGGATAACTACTAGTGATATTGAATACTCGGAAACTATCAATCAGTTCATCACTGCTAGGAAATCCAAGTAATAAGGCCAACGTGCTGACTGGTGCTGCATTTGCTAATAATGTTTTTGTTTGGGTTTGTGACAATTTAGCATTGATATCCTCGTTTATAAATTGAATGACTTTCTCGCATATTAATGTTTGAATCAACGGTCGAATATGTCGAGAAATTCCTTTCTGAAAAAAACAAATTAAATTTATTACTTTTGCTGAGGAAACTGTTGAAAAAAAAATATGCAAGCAATACATATGAACTGAAATCATCTCTCCAAACACATAAATCTGTCTCATTTTATAATTTGTAACAGTTGATACTGGAAACATTTTATCACATCAAATTTCCATTCTCTGAACGGTTGAGTTTTAAAGAATATTTTAGCTCTGTATTCACAAATGTTCATTTTTCTGAAAATTTAATTGTGCCTGAAATCATTGCTGCGTTTACAAAATGAAAGTGAAGACAAAAATGAAGCTCATCAGCATTAAACTTTTGTAGTCACTAACTTCAATTAAATTCTGAGTTATTATGAGTGATAGAATTAAAATTAACATTTTCTTATTAAATTCAAACTACTGTATCGTGTAAAACAATTTAGAAAAGTATGCGATATACTGAACCGAATTCTTGAAATTCCAACATGTTAATAAGATACTGTTTGCTCTAAACAATTTTGTAATTGTTTGATTTGCCTCATTCGTATTTTCAAGATAACAAAACAACGAGAACTATTTACTTTGTGGCGAAGACTAACATGAAAAGTTATCGCACTTCGCATACTTTTAAAATACTCATAAACCTTTTAGCAGAGGAGACTTTGAAAAAAAATGTTCAAAAAAATAAACTGCTGAAGTCAAAATGAAAGAAAAGTTAAGACGAACCTTGAATAAATTAAAAGCCATTCCAGCAATTCCGCCATTGTGAATTTCAATCATCATAACAGAAATCATTGTACGACAAGAAATCGGTGACACCTGTGCAGCCCCTGCTTTTGACCGTTCTAGAGTAGTTTCTAATTTAAAGTGAATACCATCTGCTGATACCTCAATCTCACCTCCTAATTTCATCGGTAACAAAACATTGATTTCTCCTGATAAATCTCCGATTAATCTGAAAAGATTGGATTACATGCGTTCATTTGAAGTGAATCATTTTAACTGTTCTGAATATATTAATGCATCGTTGTTTATATCAAATGAAAAGTGATATGCATACAATAAAACATGAATTTTTTCCTCACCCCACACTTAAGTTTTTCATTATCCAAGTGATTATATTAGGCGATGATGTAGAAATAGTGTGATAAGATGCTCGTTTAAATCGAGAAACACGAATAGCCGAAAGCAAAATATTTCCCAAACCATTATTAAAGCGCTGTTTGATGTTTGGTATCGATATGCGAGGTATGTGTTCAGCCAAAATATCAGCACCGATGTTGGTCAAATATGTTATTGCTTTCGGTAAAATGCGTAAGCGTATAGCACTAGACGATTGCTGCAGAGCTTTCAAATAGATTAAATACATGAAAGAAATAAGTTATAATATTTAAGAAAGCTCGCAAAAAGATCTGAATAAAAAGTTATATCAAATACTTAATTCATGATTAAAGTGTTAGTAAAATGACTCATGAGAAGTACTACTGTCTAATATATACGTGAGAATAAGAAATAAGATATTCAGACCTGTAAAATGAAATGACCATCCAAGACGCTGTAGACAGGAATATTGTAAGTGAAGAGAAAAAGGATGAGGTAGATGAAAGGCATCAGATAATGTTTTTGCAGTGAACAGAAATTTCTGGTTCACTTAGAAATGTAGTGAGTACGATTATATGTTGATAGTACTCTCATTGTTCCATCTGTCAGCGCAATAACAGCCCCAGTGAGTAGGCAGAAATGTCCTTCAAGAAATAACTCGTTTTCACCGACTCACTGTTGCATCTACAATGCAGTTGTGCTGGTGTCCGTGTTTGACGAGCTGCGCACCATGCATTACTTCTCAATACTTCTGCTGCACTTTACTGTCTTATTACAACACGTATTACACTTGCAGTTCGCGTTTATCAAGGCGTCTGATGTATCATTTGATATTGGTTCTGGTGCTGTTTCTCAACTGATCCGTGAAGCTACTTACCGACTACTTCGCTCCCCACGTCCTCTTTACTTATCCTTTCGCACACAAGACAAACCTCTTTTACTACCTCTTGCTTACATTAAGACTTATAATCGAATATCATATTCTAATTTTACGGTAAGATTCTATCCAAATACAATACGCTTGAAAGCTAATAATGTTCGCATGCATTCAGTATCAAATATCACTCCAAATATATGGCCTATAAGTTTTGGAGACGAAACCGTCAACCTTGTTGTTTTGGTAATCATTTAATGCTAGTCATTGAACTATTCTTTATGAGCGCATTATCATTTCGTACTATTCTCTACATCCATCCATAAATCAATATCAATTTACAACATATAGATGTTGCTGAAAGTTTAAATGATCGGTAGTTTTTGGGTGGTTCAATTCAAATAAATTATTTGGTATCGGTTGATTTTAAATCGAATGCTTTAGATGGGAGACGTTGAAGTGACGGCTAGAATGGAAAAAAGAACTGCTCGAATGTTATCCTGTTCCTTACAGAATACAATCATTAATGCCACATCAAAAAATTATTGGATGATAGATACGTTGCTGCTTATGGCCTCAAATCCTATACAGTCTTACCTTCAAGAGCTCATTTGTCCTTCTATCTCTAAGTTCATTTCGAACATTGAGAGTGCTACTGTAATGTAAGTATGATCAAGCAAGCATCTGTAAATTTTCACACTTTCGAAAAAATTTTTTCCTTGCATTTTGATCATTTAGGAATATGTCGTTGAATGAAATATTGCCAGTACACATTCGCAATGCAATCAACACCGTAGATTCTTCACTATTCTATCGTCTAACATCAATAACAGCGGAAGAGAAGCATATTCTCATCGTAATGCAAATGGGATGGAAACGTCCCTTAGAAAGGAATGAAGAAATTTCTACAAATGTAACAAATATCAATATGAAATGGGATAATGAAGATAGGATAGTGATTTGGATTGATGATACTGCTCTGACTGATTTCTTAAATCAGGTTTGATTAAAGCACTTATTTACAACCAGTAATGCATGCATGCCATTTTTAAAACATTGCTTTACTACTTATTTCAACTTAACTGTTATCCCGAAAGACGATTGAACAGTCTTAAAATTTTGAACTATTGGTAAAAGCATTTACTTGGAACTATTACAAGTTACATTTGAGTTATTTCATCGCATCAGTTAATAAAAAGAACAATAATATGATATAAATAACCTCATACTTATGTTACAGATTAAATGGGATTTCCAGTGGATGGAAGAAACAATTGCAGTGACCAGTCCTGTCATACCACTATCCTCCCGAGAATTCCTTTCTACTCTCTGTACTTCTTGCTATTTCTTGCTCAATGTTTGGGCTAATGGTCCACCAGTTTTAACAGCTACTAATAATACCGTTGTATTAGAGAAGTAAATCTTTCTTCCTTTACTCAAGAGACAATCGATAGCTAAATAAAAACATTTATCAATAACTCTCATCTCGGTTTAAATTCATATCTGTTTTATGATAAAACGTATTATTTATTGATAAATCAGTTTAGCCTTTGTAGGATTCTGTTTGTATCCAATTTTAGATGAATTTTTTTTAGGCGTGATAGGCTCAATTTGCGGGTTGTAAATCCAGATAAAAATGTCACTTCTGTTTTTGTATCAATGTTTCTGGCTCTTACCGCTGAATTAAGACCGGTCATCGATTCTGGAACCTTGCGCACACTAGTGCAACTACTTGATACAAGTGTGGTTATGGAAAGTGGCGCCTTTCCACCTTCCTGGTCCTTCTTTGTTCAGGATCTGATAAAAGGTCAGCCACAATTTGATTCTCATAGTAGTTAAGAGAATAACTGAGAATAGAATATCAAAATTCAAGACTTTCTTCCCAACGTCTATAACTAGTTAGTATTAAATGAATATTTTAGATAAATATCAATTCTGGAACAATTATCTGCATAAATCACGTCTGATTTTCTTTTTTTCGTCTAGTCAGAAATTATGACATTCTGTATTGCAGTCGTCTTTCGATTAATAAGTCAATTCTAGACACCATACATAAATTAAAGTGAAAATATTTGTAAAGCAAAATTTAAGAAATGATAACGCAAATGATGTGGCCGGAAATGCGGAAGCAAATTGAGGAGCTAACATATAGTGAAGGAATTCGTCTAGCAAAATCATGCGGAATCAACCCACAAAATGCAGAGATTTTGATTGGTGAAGGTCGCCTAGGGCTTTCCGCAACTCTTAATCTACAAAGTTTACAAGCAGAAGAATGTATAAAAGATCTCAAAAGTGCTTTACCAAATACTGCAAAACTTTTTCCCAAATAAATAATGTATATTAGCAGCTGCCGTCGCTATTATAAGCATACAAATTTAGAAGTTGAAAATTGTATATATTCAGTATGCATATTTAATTGATGGAGATCAATGCTAAAATATTGAGTCAGTCAAGAAAAAAATTTTTGCTCAGTTATAGACGTCTTATCTTTTACATAAATTTGCATGTATAAGTGTAATCAGCCAGATTATCCACCAAAGAAGGCTTCCAATTAGACACAGTTTCTATTCCATATAATAATCAATGGCAAACTAGGAAGTAGCAAACTAACATGAAATTTTTTCTACACTCTTTCTATCCTGCAAGCTCATTTGAATCACTTCTGCTTGCTTATCACTCTTGGACAATGTCAATTTAAAGTAAACTGCACTAGACGCAAAGGAGCTGAGCAGTCTGCGCTATAAATGGGCAGAGCGGGGACTAACTAAGTAACTCTGATATCCATATAAAGGGATTGAAAGAGAGTTGAATGGAAGAGTAAGCAATTCTAATTTGAGAAGGAAACGAGAGACAATTCGATAGCGATGGAAGGAAACTCTCAGATGTAACTACGCTCATAAAACTGAGACTTCAAAAAGAGCTTCAAGAAGCTTGTGAATGCTAGACCCATTAACACAACTTACCACTCTACAACATTTTCAATCTGTTGTGAATCGATATTATGGGTCAGCAGCAGTCAGCATTTGTTGTGGAAATCGCCTCACCCAGACTTGGAAGCTTCCAGGTTTCTCGTCCTGTTTCAAATTTAAGTTATTCTTTTTCAAGTATTTCGTTTAGAAGATAGATAGTAAGCTCAGAATTCTGAAACTAGCTATTACTGCATTAATCGCAAAGAGAATATTCACTAGGATGGACTCTTCATTTTTAGTAGGTAATGCAGCTGCTATCTGGTTCATTTTTTGACATGAGTGTTCTGAGTATTTGTTTTCTATACGCTTATATACATTATCTGCTATGCTTATAGGTTCATGACTCCACAGCTAAAATATTTACGGTTACTTTTTTTTCCAACAACTTGCTTAGAATGATATTCTGCTGCACATTAGGAAATTATGTGTGTTTGACAGAAATAGACAGAAGCCATTTATGAATATCTTCTTGACAACTATTTGCAAGAAAATTGATTATTGACAATAATTTTAGCCATTCACTGATTGACTCTCCTCAGCAAAAAAAATTCCAGCATCAGTTATCAGTTTTTGGCTTCAAGATTTGAGGTTTCGACGTTAGTTTAGAAATTATTTAGAAGTACAACAAACACTAGACTTCTGACATTAAAAATCTTGAAACCCCATCACTGTTTCGAAAATAATTTGGTAAATTTATTAAAAAGAGATGAGTAAATATCTTGCATGAATGCAATAAAAGAACGATACTACTGCGCAATTTTTCTAAATCTGATTAATTCATAGAGTGGAATTCTTAGATTTATTGTATATGCTAAAAAACACAAAACATGTGTATTACAATTGGAAAGATTACTTGACCAATTATTTTTCCATAATTTCTCCAAGAAAGTAATATTTAGTTCGTAGCAAATGCTTTGACACAGAATTTTTAGATTATGAAAATAGGAGAAAGAACCTCTTGAATTTAGATCCGTGTTTATCTCGTATTCATGATAACAATTAAAGTTATGACTTGTAGAGTTTGCCACAGTCTGATCCTGATGATGATGGTCCTAGTTCTTCAGAGTGGCGCATCACAGTTAATCCATCAGCAAATTTCTTCTCAACTAGCGATGAATTAAAATCACTGATTAGCAAACTTTATCGAAATCAGGTTTATTCTTTATGCTCTATCTCTAGAAACTGTTGGATTACTTGGAAAAACATGCAGACTCTTCTTGGATTTTCCTCGTTTCAGAAATTGATTACACCATCAGAAGCAAAATATCTTTCTACAGCTTTAAAATGTATCGAAATTTCCTCAGATTTACTTCTTCCACTACTGACCGTTATTTCAAATTCTACTGCATATGCTGCGAATCAGGTGAGTCGAAATCATCAGTTAACCTAGGCTATTAAAATTTAAAATTTAGTTATTTATTTCTTTTCATGTATGCAGCCAAAAAATATGACTTCAGAAATGGCTGTAATCGTACGAAGTATAAAACTGCTATTATATTGGATTTTAATGCTTCTTTTATGAAGACATCATCGGGTCATGTTTAAAAAATTGAATTTTAACAAAGCAAACTTTGTAGTGTTTATTTGCGCAGTCTGGTATAACCGAAAAAATTGTGGAAATGATGAAAAATTACCACGCAGCTTTTCCAAATTCGATCAAGGTTAATCACAACCTCGCTTCTTAAATTTTTACTTTTAGTGAACTTCTTCCTAATAAACGAATGAAACGCAACATCCAATATCTACTGAAAACACATTTTCTTTGTTAATCTCAGGTAATATTATTACAATGCATCGCAAATATGGCTGCATCCAAAGAAAATGCAGAAATCTTAAAACAAACTATCCCACTTATTATAAAGCGTCTTGATTCACCACTAGATATGGAAAGGACGGTATCATTCCAGGCTCTTACTAATCTTTCTTATACGATTACACGATCGCAAATTGAAACTTACTTACCAGCTATACCTATTTGTCTCAAAAGGTAGACACATATTCTGCTTAATACCTACTGCAAGTTTAAGTGAAATATGTGTGTTCGTTTTAAAACTTTTGATTATATTAATATTATGTGAAATTTTTAAAAATTGATTTGCAAAACGTTGACTTTGGTTTGGCATTTTCTTTTTACAGTTTCATGCTTATTGCCATAAAAATTCAAGCTATTGATATGAATATGTTTATTTCAGACTTTGGGAAAAAGGTGAAACGAATATTAATTCACTGCGACTTCTTGTTAATCTGTCTTGCTGCCCTGATATGGTGCCGCACATTTTAGCTGCAAAGGTGATTTTTTCCTATTCAACGAGATAGAATCTCTAAATAATGTGTGAAAATGTTCTATTAACATCTGCTTCACTTGAAATGAAATGAAATAATCACATTTCGAGGTCAATGTTTTGCTTTTTGATTCCCAGTGTTAACAATCATTACATTTCAAGGAGAATGATTCGTAATTGATGAATTTTTTTTTGGCCATTTAATTTCATAAGACTTTTTTGTTCCTTTTAGTGAAAAGTTCACAATTTATAATGCTTTTACTCTGATGCCATTTGAATTCGCTGAGTGGTACTGATTAAATGTTATTGTGTATAAATTTTCAATTAGTAAAAAATTTAACAGATGCAATGTAAATAGTACAAGCATACAAAGAAGAGCAGAAAATTATAGGTTTCCGGTAAATCTTGATGTAGATACACTTTATGTTAGTGAATGTCATGGGAAATTTTGATGAAAGAAATCTCTTTAGCTGAAAAAGATCCACAAATTTTAAAATCTATGCACCTTTAACATTAATTTCTGAAAATTACATTCATGAAAACAAATTTTTATTGAGAAAAATAAGGAATCATTTCAGGCAGTTACAGGATTGTTGTCGATTCTGGATTCAGATAAACCGGAAATTTTACTGCGTGCCGTAACATGGTTACTTTGTATGTCATCAGCTGTACAGGCATTATCTGTGACATATGAAGTTATCGCTCCGTTAAATCAAGACCCTTTTGCGAATCCCAACTACACTGTTTATTTTTCTATTTATGCTCCAAAGGTCAATTTTTCAAAATTACATAGCGCTTTTTTTTCAATCAGTATATTTATTATCAAAACTGTCTCTATCCATGTTGTTCTGTGATAATGAGAAAAGCATATATTCGATCATAAAGTGAAAAACACTAATGCTCTCTGGTAACCATCTTGTAAATCTCATTTAATGTGAAACATCAGATTAATGAAATGAATGAAATAATTATATTTGCAACTTTTAGGCTAGACAGGAGCTAGTTAAGCGATTAATTGAGATAGCCGCAGGCAACGATGAGACAGCAGTGAAAGCAAATCATTTGATCGAAATACTAACAGAAATCCCAAAAACACGATCATTGCTATCCAATCTCAATAAATTATAATATCGCGTACTTTTGGTGTATTGCTTATGGGTGATCATATTGCTAGATTCATTCTGTGAAATTACATTGTCGTTTAAGCCTTCACAAATTCAATTTATCGATGAAATAAATTTTAAATAAATTCTTATCGCTTCATTTAGTTTTCTCTGTTTTGACAAACAGAAATAAATGATTTGAAAGATATTAGAAATTCTGTAATCCTGAAAACCTAGTTTCTATTGAACTGATTGCAGAGATATCGATAATTGGAGTACTATGAGAACGCCCAATCAAATCTAGAATAATCACAAAACAAAATGAAAATTTGATATTCATTTAGTTAAAGCAATTTTCTAGACTTGACTACTTCTCTGAATTCATTATTTGAATAATTTTTAAATAGTCACAAATACAATTTTGCATCAGTCTTGATCGCAGTAAACTGCTGCTAAGGACGTTAGTGGAAGCAGTATGGAAACGTCGAATTCTGCTATTAGTTTATTAAGAAAATATTGTGAGGAATATATGACTTTCTATAACAGCTTCAATATGGCTGAAGTCAGTTCTTACTAAAAATAGACATTGAATGAGTTTGATATAGTACTAGAAGTAAACTGATCATGATGAGTGCTTGATTTCGTTTGCTTAGATATCAAAATCAATGACATTTTTTGTAAGAGATCACTACTGAACTTACAAATAAATTTCAGTTGTGCTCTGCATCGGCTCTGCTGTCAAGATTGTTTTTTCAAGCAACTTTAGTACTAATAATGGTTCTCCATATTTTTTCATCCAGATTTGTACGAGGTAATATTTTTTGCCATCACGACGCTAAGTCCATTGCTGATCGCATTATATATATGCATGTTCTGTCTGTTCTGTCAGCATTCTGTCAGCACAACAAATCTGAGCTCGGAGCAAGCACAGCCGTACATATATATATGGCTGACTATAGACTACCTGATCTTGGAAAGAACATATTGCTTTCCCGTAATTTTTGGTTTCTGTTTTTTTTCTCTGCTCTACTTTTGTCTGTTATGGCGATGTCATCATGCGACGATAGAAGTGAATAGCAGAAATACCAGTGCAATCAGTTGTGACAACAAACGTAATGGTATCAACTGTCAACGACGCCAGGACAGTGGAAATGGTAGCATTATGAAAGGACATTCTATCAATCAAATAGATCAGTTATCAAATGGTGGGGAACGAGTTTCTGAAGAACTTTTCACATAACAGGCAACTTCCAAAAAGCGAAAAAAAATAACAGACCATAACGACAATGCCTTGTTACAGCAATTTTGAAGAAACGGGGAATTCGCCACGATGATAGCCTTTCTCCACTGCTGTTCGTGTCATGTATGGACCCGTTGAGCCATAAGCTCAATAGCAGATACCCAAAGATGGCGGTTTCCACTGATCAAGGAATGCATCCAACGAACCATTTATTATTTGTGGATGATCTCAAGCTTCTTGCTACCAACGAGAATATCATGAAAGCTATGGCCGAAGAGGTTCGAGAAAGAAGGTAAGGAAAAGTGACACATGGCATGAATAAAGCGGAAGACTGACGCAAAAAGAGTTCGAAACCTAAAAAAAGAGTGCTATGTGGTCGTACAGTCAAGATAACAGAAGTTCGGGAAGGAAATGGAGAATTAACGGAGAAAAACCGCATCTGGAATCATAGTGGAAAACAATAAAAAAACAGATGACGTTGCGAATAGCTCCGTGAAAGATGTAGGAGAGCACCTCAGGCGTAATCATCTTACTGAAACCAGGAATCAGTAAGATGATTACGCCTGAGGTTATCATTCGAGGAATCGAGGCTTCGCAGAGCAGCTGGCCAGATGAAGTGTCGAAGGCGGTTCTTGACCGTTTCGGGAGGATACCAAGAGGAGGATAGCCCTTATGTCAATCACTGTATTGAGAAAAGTTTTTGTGGGCGCAATTAACATTCAAAAACTGAAAAAACAAGCGAATGCTGCAATCACTAGTATTGCAAGTCGTCCGTGCTCGCAGAAACGGTTCTTGGAGGAGTCAACGAAAGGTGTCAAGGTACTTGAAAATATGTAACAAAAGTCTAAGGTTTATCTAGACGTAAAGCAGAAGTAACGTGTACTGATGTCAAGTGTACTGATGCAAGAAGCACAAGGATGTGAGATAGACCAGACAAAGTGGACGCGAAGAATGATGTCGGAGAAAGTTGATTCGCTTATACTTAAAGAGGTAAACCAAACGGCGGGTGAGTATGCCACTCAAAGCCCCTCCAAGTCAATGACTGAAGGCAGTTCCAGGTGGCACAACAATGCTACGAAGAGATGACAAGGTGTGAAAAGAAACCATTAATGTGGAAGGCAAACACAGAAAGGAAGATAAGTGAAAATAATTTCCACAAAACACTTTTAGAGCGGTATTTGGCCGATGAAATACCTGTAGGTAGAAACTTGAGAGAAGCCAAGAAAACCTGAGAATCATGCTCCTCATATTTGCTCTTAAGCGTGATTGTCATGAAACGTTAAAGCATACTGACAGACCGTGTGAGTTTATGAAAATATTTACAAGAGTCTTAAATGCATATCGGGACTTTTTTCATCTATTTTCGTTACTGTGAATAGCTTATGCAAAAAATAAAAATTCAGATTTCCTTATTTTGAATTAAGTTTACAACAGAAGTAAGAATAAAAGTGTAACATTTTAAAGGCTTTTACATTTTACTACAACTAAAATTTCAAAAAGTTCATTTGTTCTTTCTAATAAAATTTTTGCATCAAAATATTTAAGCTTGTGATTTAAAAATTATCTATAAATATAAAAATTGTACCTTATTTTAAGTAAGATCCAAAACGTCAGACTTGAATTGTTCTGAAGACGGTTTTGTAGGAAGCTAGCTGAGGAACAGCCTATTAACCACAATGTAGGGACAAAAGAGATCAGAGAGTTCTGAGCTACGATGTGGAATTCAAAAATGAAAGAAGACGATGACAATCGGCATAATGAATAACTGGAAGTATTCGTTCCAGATTATGAAGTGCATGATAGTTTTTCGCCTGAAGTCGAATTCGGGAAATAGCTTTTTGTTTGCTTAACTGGAAGGCGGCGGATCCTGATAGAATCTATTATAACTTCTTTCATTAAGAAGTGCACCTTGTTACATCCAGATCTACACAAAATAATTGGGCGGATTTGCTTGAATGGAAAGGAATAGGAACCATGGTTTTACAGAGGCACGAAATATCTGATTTCTAAAGGTATTCCAAACAAAGGTAGTAACTTCAGGCTAATAACATACCTTTACAACTTGACAACAAAATGTATGGCAGGAGTCATATAATTAAATATTGCCACTAAAAAACTATTTGCAGACAACCAATTAGAAACTGTTGATCAAGATGCGAGACAACAGGCAGTCTTGAACCTAGCAGTATGCAGAGAGTATGGATATCAGTTATTTACCACGTGGTATGAGCTAAAAAAGCGTTCGATCCAGTTAGTCACAGCTATCTGATTAAGTGTATTGAAAAATTCGACAGCGTGGATCGACAGATTTCTGAAAAGGATCACCTCCAGATGGTTGGTTTCATTGAAAAGCAATGGGAAAACGGTAATGGAGAAAAAATACAGCAAGGAATCCGCCAAGGTGGTAGGCGTTCTCCGCTGCTGTTTGTTTTATGCATGGAGACGTTTAAACGTCAGTTCAATCTAAGGTACGCAAAGGCGGTTTCCACTGATCAAGGAATGCATGCAACGAACCATTATTTGTGGATGATCTCAAGCTCCTTGCTATCAACGAGAATATCACGAGAGGTATGGCCGAAAAGGTTCAGAGGTTCTTAAAAATAATAAAGTTAAAAGGTGAATCCAGCAAAGTCAGCCCCTAGTACCGAGGTATAAAGCGGCGCTATTGGAAGCAACTCAAGGGTATAAATACCTTGGAATAGTAGAAGACAGGAGTAGCGCTCCGACTCGAGAAAGTTGCGATAAAGTCCGTGCAGATCTCACTAAGAATTGAGAGATTAGTCAAAAGTGCATTAAATGGCAAGAACTTTATGAAGGCGGTGAATGAGCATGCTATTTGATTAATAAATTATTATACTGGGACTTCCGAGCAATGGACCATGATATCAGACAGTTATTAATAAAGTGCGGAATCCACATCCAATCTGCATGTTCGGAGAGACTGTTATCTGCCGATGGACGAGCAGAGTGAGATTATGCTTCTCCAGCGACATAATGTTCATGTAGATACCGCACCCATTTGTACCAGAAGGGCAGCGATTCTGAAGCAGGAGAAAGCTCATAACACGTACTTGGCAATTATTGTGCCCTATCTAAAGACCAAGTACAACCTCACAGGAAATTCTACCGTTGAAAACGTATTTGCAGCCCAGAAGGCGTTCTTGTATAGCGAAATAGAAAAGAAAACCCAC